ATTCTTTAGTCTTTCAGCATCACAGGTGGTACAACACGAGTTCCCCACAGCTATGCCGATGGAAACGGAGATGCTTTGACGTTCTCCAGGGACTCTGCATTTTGGGCATTCAATTCCGTGGCGAACTTTCTGTACCCCAGGCAAAGTTGCGAGCCTGCAATCCTTTGTGGTGCGTTATGCCGGAGCGGAGCGAGACAGAGTGAGGGAGAGAGGGGGCTGGTAGCCCATAGCCCTGGCGAAAGAAAGGGGGCTGGTAGCCATTTTGGCTCAAGTGCTGCACATTTGCTTGGAGGCTTGTGCCGCCTCCTTGCATTGGGGGGAGCCGGGAGGATAACGTGGACTGTACTCCAGGGGAGCCCTCCCGGTTTTCCCAGCGGTGCTTGAGTCATTATATCTGCCACTGTTTTGCTCAAGAGGCCCCAGCATTTTCTCGCTTACCGGACCCCTTGACTGCGGCCCCCTTCGGGGGTGGCCCGCCAGTAGGGGGGGACGGCATACTACAAGCTTGAGGAACTCAGTGTGATCTACCTGGGAGGAGCGCTATGATGGAATAACGCCTATGCAGAGAGGCGGCGGGGATCTGTGTGCCGGGCATTCGTAAAAACCACGTCCGAAGCGACCCAGCCTGCAGACTGCACGGCGTGGCAAGCAGAGCAAACACAAGAGTGGCAGCTACGGCCAAGTTTTGGGAAAGCCAACACAGCAGAAGGCGACCTCCTCGGACACGACGCCACAGAGTGCAGAGGGGGAAGCACTTGCAGGTAGAAGCGGCCCCTCAGGAGCGGGGGAACGGACAAGACCGACCTCAGCCAATGCAAGCTTTGACCACATGGTGCAGTATGTGACACGAGGGGGATGCATCCGCTGTTCCATCCCAGCCCGCTGGACAAGTGGATCGGCCGCACCCTGCACTATGACGACCAAACCATGAAGCTTTTTGATGAACGGGGGAAGCCAGTAAGCAGTGACGATGAGGAGGCCTACAACAACTACCGGGGGAGGCTTTCCACAAGGCACCAACTCGCTGAGGCGGTAGACAAATTGGTCCGCATCACGGATCAGTACTTGCCGCGCATCACAGACGAGACGCGGGCCTTTATCATGCGCTACCCGCACCGGATACCCAAGCTCCTCAAGGACGCCCGCAAGGTCAAGAAAAAGGCCAAGGCACGCCTGGAGACAAGGGGGCGAGCCACAAGCAGTGGTCAGCCCAGACAAAAAACCATGCAAAGGGGGATGGAACCGTCTATGGAAAGCCGCGCACCTGAAATAGCAGGCGCAAAGGGGGATGGCACCGAAGCCATGCCAACCACCTCCGCTCCACCGCCCGGTGGGGAAATGGCCGAGCAGAGAACCGCGAGAGGAGATAGCCCAGAGCAGCCAGCGATGGCACCACGTGACGGTGGACTGGGGGAGTTACAGCTCGAGTGATAGCTTCCCAGTTGGGGGAACGGCACGATCGATGCCGGAGCCAACCACGGACACCCAGCAACAGCCGAGAAGGACCTTGGGGGAGATGCGGCCCCGAACCCAGCCGCAGTCCTCGAAGGCAACCGGTACGCCTGGTACCAAACAGTGACTGGCAAGAAGTCCATGGCCAGATGGAGGACCACTGAGAGGGGGGAACAACAGTGAGCAGTAGAAGTTTTCCAGTTCTTTTCAGTGTTGCTTGCGACGCCAAGCCTAATTCTGACGGGCCGCTGGAGCCATCAAACTTACTACCGACCGGGGGCCACACGCCCCCCCGTGCACCTGTTGCACGAAACACGGCACTGAGACTGAGTTTCGCCGCTAATTCAGTTCTTGAATAGGAACCTTGTTTGAGACTTCAAACCTTTGGGGGAAACCGGCTCTTTAATGCCTACCCTGCACTACTCAGCTGGTATGCCCAACCTTTTTTCCAAGCTGCTCGCCTCACTGAACTTCTTCCCCGTACTTGTGCTCTTGCTGTTGTTTCGTGGTGTGTTCGGTACATGGGGGAGCTGCTCGCATTATTTCAATTTGTGTGGCGGACTTTGCCTGGCGAGGGCCTAAGGACACTGCCGTAGAGGGCGCGGGGATGAGGCCGGGACGCGGGCTAAAGTTCAGGGTTAGGGTGGGTCCTCGCCCCAGCCTCTAGCAGCCCCAGCATGCCTTCTGAGCAAAACCCTGCCCTTGTTTCCTAACCCCGGGGACCCGCTGCCTTCACAGCAACAACCAAACCGGTCAACTTCACCAGCACGAACACAGAGTCGGGGGCAAACCGGTCGTGACCAGCAGCATCTCAGCATTAGCCAACGTGTTTGTAGAGATATCAGGAATGGCCGCAAGCTCTGGAGAACGCTTGACAGGCCTTAAGAGAAGGGCCCGACAGGCTTGCAACAAGTCGTGGGACTCGGGGCAATCGAGCTGGCCTAGGCGGGACTCATTGTCAACAATGCTGTTAACTAGGGAACACAGTTCCGCCCCCAGTTTCCCTCCGAGAGACCGTGCTGGACACTGGGCGCAGCGCTAGCGAACAGGGGTACAGGTAGGGGCCCCCCTTTCTCACCCTATGGAGGCCTTGCGAGCAAGCAAGCAAGAGGGAGCCCAGCATGAACGGAGAGGCGGAGATACAAGCAGGTTTTCCAAGGTCCAAGTCCCAGGGCAGCTTTTGAACGTGAGTTCGAAAGAACAGAACGAAGCACACACACCGGCGATCGCGGCATGACCGCCCGCTATATCCGACCTCGGATTTATAAATCTAGGCAAATCATCGGGTAGCACGAAGTGTTTGAAGTCTGGGACTTGTAGCGCTCTTGTTTGTGCCGCTTGGTACGAAAGTGATGCAAGCATGCCTTGTGAGCTTTGTGTTCCATTATTTCCATTTGCCGCTTCTATCCCCATCTGTTCTAGATTCCGAAGTCGACAAAGCGATTCGGTTACTATGTCAAAATTGCGCTTCCTTTCACCTTCTTTCTTAGCTTAACATATGATTACCCCCAACTGGTCCAAACCTTTGGGCTGAAAGGCGAGCTTTGTTCGGTTTCTGCTTTTCCCAGCTGCGAGCCCTAGATGGATATGCTGCACTTTACGAACGTTTCGTGCACTTTGCCTCTTCCGTTGACACACAGACTACTGCAGTGCACGTCTTCAGGAAGGTGTTGCAAAGCGCTTTTGTTGGCATCGATGTCGCACAAGCGTGACTTCTGCTTCCGAAGGGCGCGCGAGCGGATGCCCCGTTAGGAAAGTGGCGGCGTGTCGCGTGTGTCGGGGGCCGGCGCAGGTGGTTTGCGGCGGCTGGCGTTGTGCAGCAAGCCGGCGAGGCGGAGGAGCGCTTCGCCCGGGCACTGGAATTGGAGGCGCTCTGCTTCGAAGTGTCTCGCACTAGCCTTAACTGGTGGCCTGGTGTGACCTGGTGTTGGTCTCGGGCGCAGGAACTGGTCGCAGTGGCAAAGTATCGCAAGGATCCTGCAGCTGCCTTGGAGTACTTGCGCCCTGCCGGCATGCTGTGAAGCCGTGTGCTACCTATTGGTGTGTCTCAAGACCTGAGTTCCGCAATTAAGGACCGTGGCAGACGGTGCAAGGGCCGACAAAATTGTTCAAGAAGAGTGGGCTCTGTTTGGCCAACTCATGGTAGTCCACTTAGATCCAGCTCGTTTCAGGGTTGGCGCTGTGTGCAATCCAGTGTGCTGGTTTCGCAAGCCTGAAAGACGAGCTTCTGGCAGCTGATAGGTGACCTTCCGTGACGGCTTCCGCATTTCTTCCCTTGGGCCACAAGCGCCTGACCACGGAGGTCGCCAGGGAGGTATTGTGCCCAAGGCGAGGCAGAGCAACTTCCAGCCCTGCTCGACATGATGTAAGATCTTCCAAAATTCCCTGAGGTCGAAGAGGTTGGATATTCGAATCGCTGGTATGAACGTATTGCACAGGCTGGGTAGAGACCCAGACATTGTCCAGCGTTTCCTGACGCCTCGTCAGGACACGGGGGATCACTACAAGGTGCCCAAGAGCTCGAGCCAAGCGCGAGCACTCGAGCAGAGGAAGTTGCGCACCTTGAACAGAGGCACTCAGACCTGCAGTGCGACGCTCTGGAGAGCTTTTCAAACACTCCTGTGCACCAGGAATCGCTTGGGCAGGGGATGCGTGCCTCAGCTTGCCAAGGGGAGCCCAGCCGGTGCAGAGGAGTGGCGGAGAGTAGTCGTACGGCCCTGACCGAGGAAATCTCCTGCCGCCCCGCATCTTGAGCTGGTAGTCTGAGCTGACGCAGGGGTTCCTTGAAAGTTCCACGTCTTCGCAGCGGTAGCGACGACAATTGCCACGGCTGCTTGGGCCGTCCGGAAGGGAAGTTTGAAGCTCGTAGCCGTCGTAGCTGGACAGTGCACATATTTGATGGCGCTTGTCCAAAATCGAAAAGAGGCTAGCTTATGACGCAGTATGCAACGAGACCTTGTCCACGTCCAAGCTTTGCTGTCGGCATGCTGGATGCCTACTAGGCCGCGTAGAGCACAGGCTAGGCGATGAACAAGCCTGGTACCGACGAGTTTCCGACACTTTTTACCGATTTCTTCCAGTGTCTTGACTGTTTGATCCGAGCGCCTAGGTTCACCAACAACGACCACTTGTGGCAGGCAGCTGTCAATCGTCGCAAGGATGGGTACTTCACATCGTGTGATCAGAAGCCATCAGTGAGAAGATTGGTGATGCATTTGTGCCTTCCACTGGCACTGCAGTAGGAGGGTCGCTTGTCAAATGACGAAGAGGTGCCGTGGACTCAGAGCCTTCCCCCCGTTGGCATGAGCACTGTTCTGCTTCAGAGTTGTCACCAAGTCCGCGCCTCGACCGCTGCAGAAATGTCACGGCCTCGTGTTCTGTGGAGGGCATGTTCTCTTTTGCAGCGCTTCAGGCTCCGGCCCAGGCAATCAGAACTTTTTGCAGCCTTTTTTGCACATGCGGCGGGGATGCCTTGCAGAGCAGAGACAAACGACCTTCACCGACGCATGTCAGCGTACTTCACCTCGTGGCTGCTGGTTGATGAGGCCATGCTGCTTCATTTCTGTGTTTGTGATTTCGCTTCCTTCTGGCGCAAACGCTGGACACAGCCGCCATCTGAGGAAGCTATCATGTGTACAGGCTAGGCGGAGGGTGTGCGGATGTAGCTTCACCATTGAATGGATGCAAGTTTCTACCTGCACCAGCGCCGAGGCTCGGCTACCTCTCTGCAAGCGACCAGTTCCGTGTCCGCACGACCTCCGGCGTTCCAGCCTTGGTGAGCTGTGGCACGGGCTCCAGATGCTTGCAATTTTGCCGTAACTCGCGGCTTGAGGCGATGATGGCTCGCTTCTATCGCCTCCAGTGCGAGCATCGACAATGGGAGGTGTGGCGCTGCTTGCGTTTCGAATTTTCTCAGCCAGTTGCATGCTAATTGCGAACCTTGTGCAAACCTGCTAACTCACATCTAGGCAAAAGAGCTCTTCGAGGCCATGTGCGTCGTCCAGGACAGCAAGGCCCACAAATGCTTGGCAGGCTTCCTTTAGTACTGGCAGGTTTGTAGGCATCGTGCTTGATGGAGCACTTTTTTCCATCATGTTTGTTTTATGGAGCCTGTGCGCCGCAGCTTGCTGCTCAATGTCCCCGAATTCAGATTCCAAGCATCGCTTCAAATGAGAAGGACGCATGGCTGATTCACTGGAGTCCACGTGCTCGCGACCGGATGATCCGGTCTTACCAGAGCATCCGGAAAAAGCCTTGCGCTGCATGTTGTCAGAGATTCTGGAGGACGATGCACCTGGAAATTGCATCAGAGACAGATCAGCAAAACAGCCGAGAACAGCTTTGTCGAAAGAGGACAAGCTCCGGTCACTGGAGCTGCGGCTCGAGGCGCGCTTTCGAGATTTGCTACGACGGGATGTAGTCCCCAGACTCAGGTCCCAGCCTCGTTTCTCTTCTCCCAGTCGTTGTCACTGATAGGGCCGGTAATCCTTTGTACTCGTAACCTTACCGAGGCGTGTTGCCGGTGAGCAGCTCGGAGATACAGCAACCGAACGGCACTTCAACTTTGGGCACGACAGTAATTTGCACTTCTTTGATTTCAGTGCTTCGCATCGTTTCTCAGGAATCTGAAGTGTCTTCAAACTTCCCTCATCTGCTCGCAATGCCGCCAACATTGATCACCCCGGCCGATGTCACGGAAAGCACAAGCAAGGATAGCTTTGCTTTACTCTGCACAAAACCGGCCGTCGCTGACACTTTCACCATGGTGCGGAGAGTGAGAGCGTGTTTTCGGGAGGAAACTAGCAAGAAGGACCGCGGAGAGGAGGACGTCCTGGTCGTCAGAAGTCAGCGGTCTTGTGCCTTTTGCGTTGTCTTGCCGCCTTGGAGGAAGAGGACACTCCTCAAAGCAAAGCGAAGAGGTTAAGCATCACTTTCGGGGCTTCCCACGACGAGACGCGCCGTGAACATGCACGGAGCCTGCGGAGCTCCAACGCCTCCCATGACAAGCTCAAGCAGACCGCGCTGCAAGTGTGCATGAGGCCGTGTTCTTGCGCAGAACGTCATAGAAGGCTGTAGAACTTCCATGAGCGAGTTTTCAGGAGTACTGCAGTTGACATGAGCTTGGCGGCGGTGATTTTGCTAAGCTCGGTCCTGGTCGGGTTCGAGGTGGGGACGGCTCCCAAAGATGATAGACGCTTAGCGGCTCAGCGGCTTGCCTTCCCGCAATTGCAACAAGGTTCAGTACACCGCGACAGACCATTCAACTGCCCTTCCGGACGTCTTTGCCTGGCCCTCAGTTTTCTGTGCTTCTGAACGAAGTCAAGTCCGACCTGGCAGGTAGCAGCCCGCATGACCCTCAATGCGATCCTTGCTTTGGAGCTTCTTCTGCGAGTGCAGTTTGGCAGCAGATAGGAATCTTCGAGGGAAGTTGAGTTGCTTTGGATCTTAGCCTTATTAGCGCCTCGTGCCACGGTCAAGGCATGCCTTCGGTTGGCGCTGGTCTGCACGCCAAGGCCCTCTGGCAGAGACTTGTTCGCCTCAGGAGTCTCCTTCTGCTCCTTGCTATAGCAAATCGCAGGCTGTACCTGGTTCTTCTTCGATGCTTTCCTCGCAGTGGGATCAGCTGTAGAACTTGGCTTAGACTCTTGGCTTTCTTTGCGGGCGTCGCTTCTTGAGGTGATGAAGCACTAACTGTTTTGGGGCTGGCCTATTTGCAAACATAGCTCCCCAGGACATCCGCAGCTTCTTTTACGAGCCGTGGGAGGGATTGCCTGGTTTCTCACAGCTGCGCCTGTTGAAGATCCTGCGGGTGCCTGCGCATGTTACGGCCACCATTTTGGGCAGATCCCTGATGAGGGTAGTTTGCACAAGTCTGTGCCAGGTGACCCGGTTGCTGCGCGCGCTGCGGATTCCTTCGCTCTTGAAATATGTAGGGCCTTTGCAGACCCTCGCTGCTCAGCCACAAAAATGGAGTTTCATCTAAAGTAACATGCGTACCCTTGATGCGAGACATGGCATTGAGCACATACAACATGCGACTGCCGTCATGCATCGAGGTTTCATCGATTTCTCACACTCTGTGGTATCTTGTTTGGGCGGACGCTCGTTAATGCATTTCAGATCACGCACCATTCATTGAATGACCGAGTTAGGCCAGGCCTTTGTGGTGAAGTTTGCTCTGAGGCAGTCCTGCTGGTGCTTATGATCTACACCGTGCCCAGATTTAACTGATCTGCTAAGGGTGGTACGCTACGGTATGTTAGTCACCGGCTGCAGCATGTAGAATTGCCGTCGTTGTGTTGCAGGGGTATGCAAGGGTGGTTTTCCCATAAGCCATTTTCCCAAGTTCAGCTGCCCGAGCCGTTCGAGCCCGATGTCATTCGGTCAGGTTTCAATCCTCTTCGCCCAGACGGTGACAGCCCACGTCGTCACAGAGGGGGTGGAAGCTGTCGAGGATACGAAGCCAGCCTTGACACTCCTCTGCACAAGCCAGACCCGCTGCAAGGTCAAATGTCTTGTTTGGGATGCACTCTTCCCGTTCAGACATGGTCAGGGTGCGGGAATGGAGGTCATCCAGGGTCCAGACGACTGGGTGCTTGGATTTGGGTCACTGTAGAACTTTTTCCCGCTGGACAGTGCCTATGTAACTCTTGCTGATAGCATCTGCGACCTGACACGACCGTGAGACATGATGCTGGTGTCCGAGGCTGGATTTCTGGAAAGACCTCTTCACATCAATGACCACTTGCTTCATGGCTATTTCCGGCGGCATCAACTGGCAGCTGGTGTATGTTCCCTTGAACGAGCTGGACCCAGTCATGGGCTTCATATTTATACTATACATATCGTTTACGTACTTTGCGTTGCTGAACATATTAACTGGAGTGTTCTGCAACAGTGCGATGGAAGCACTATCGAGAGATCCTGACATCGTCGCCATCTCGAAAGATGCGACACACTTGCGCAATCAGCTGCCGAAAGCTTAGCTTTGTCCAACAACATCTCGCAGAATGCCTTGCTCACAGCGTTTCCTCTTTCCGTGCTTGAGAGTTGATGTCGGTTTGTTCGCTCACAGGTCAAACCTGTTCTACTTTATTGACAAGGATGACTCTGAAGGGATCACGCTTGATGAGTTTGAAGTATCTCGGCAAACCGGATTGTTGTCCTGCCGCAGTTGTAGCAGGCAGCACTTCATGAGACGATTAAGGTATGGATGGCAGAGGAGAACGGAAAGTTTAACTTGCAAGCCCTGGGAATCGAGGGAGGTCCGGTCGCTACCAACATGCGCTAGCAAGAGAGCCTTGGGAACCGACATTTGGGTGCGAGGGGATGCGTGGACTTTGTTCAAGCTTCTTGATGAAGAAGCCTGCGGTTCAATCTCAAAGGATGCTTGGAGCCGAGTTTACACAAAGCGCACCGATGGCGCTCTCAAAGCAGTGGTTTCATTGCCAAGGCCTTTGTGGATGGCTGCCTGCGCTTGCGAGGCAGTGCTTCAGGCCCTTGCTCAGTAGACTTTCTCATGACTGCAAGACCGCCCCGGCTGCTGAGGTGTAGACATGGCAACGTTGCGTTGCGAATCGAGGGCAATGCAAGAACTGCTGGGCTTGCTCGTCATGCGGCTGGATGCATCGATATTCCCGAAGCCGCGCAGGCAAGAGTTGACCACGCATGGGTCTGAAGGCAGTTGCCTTGCGCCTGGGCAGGCCATCTTTTCCCAGGAGGCTCTCCAAGAGAAGTGTGGATACAACCATTGCGTAAACAGATCGGCTTCACCGGGCTTCTCTGAGTGATGCTCTGGATGCTCTCTTCTCCTGCACTACAGCGGCAGCACAAATTCAAGCAATTCATTGCATGTGTCAGCAGGAGGCGGTTCTTGACAGTAGAGATCTTGCATAGTAGTTCACATGTGCAATGGTTCAGCAACCGTGTGCATCAGGAACCGCTGCCCCCCTCGTGCACGTCAGTTAAAGTTTCCTCTGCGCTACCGACACTGACCGCTACGCATTCTACGCATTGCATGCAGAGGCGAGTCATGTTTTCTTCCAAAAGGAAGACGTCTTGGCGCAGCGGGAATGCATTCAATCTCTCAAAGAGAAATGAGAGTGCAGATGGTTTATCTTCCGCTAACAGCTAACAAAACCCCAGCTCGTTCAGAGCCTGAGCGTGTACAACTTTTCCTGCGTGCTGTTGGTCCCTCGCCACGGAATGGTCATATGGTGGCCTAATTTTGTGAGGACCAACGTGCGCAAACTCAGAGGGGAATACGAACAAAGCCGCTGAAGTGCTTTCTGTGATAGGCTGTAGATTCAAGCTGTGGAGTCTGAGAATGTTCTGCCAAATTCCACTTGTTTTCGCAGCTTGCAGGCAGTGGCAGATGACGTTGAAGTGGGAATTTTGCTCCGGGCTGACCCCATTTGGTCACCAGCCAACGGCCTCAGAGCGGCCGAGCGAGCAGCAGAGCAGCAGATTCGGCAGTGGCATGGAACCGAGGGCCCACATAAAAATGCTCCTGTGAGGCGGGACCAGGCGGATCATGCTGGCCAGCTTCTCCACACCAGGTTCACCAATGCCTGTGAGTGTGCACGACTACTAAACTGAAGATGCTGCGCTGCGCATGTGGCCAGGTGCCATACTTGGAGCTGGCAAAGCGATCAGAGGCGATAGTCTCAACCAAGCATCGGGGGAACTTAGACATGACAGCAAGACACATCCATCGTTTGCCTTAAGGCCCAGGGGAAACACTTCGATGCTTGGCTGCTGTATGGCAAGGCGACTGAGGCTCGTTGCGGCTGCTCGCGGCAGTTCAGGAACTGAAGCTACGTGGCCTGAACTTATTGGCGTCTCCTCAGGGAAGTGTGATCTCCGCGGAGCTTTTCAGATGCAGGGCAACCTGCGCCCTCGCCATGGCCCTGGCAAGTTGAAACGGAGCGGCCTTGGAGCGGCCTCGGCGCGTTTCGAGGCGGCAAACCTCGCCGCCTGTGCGGTTGCCGACGCATGCAGGGGAGTTGAGATGGGAGATGCCAGTGCCCAAGAAGGCTTGTCTCATCTTCAGAGCTACCGTGGGCTTTGTGGGAAGAGCAAGCCTTGCCCGAGGCCCTTTGCCACGAGATTGCGGCAGCAGCCCTGGCATACATGCGAAACACCCCTGCCCCCAGCACTTTCTGCTTCCGGATCAGCAGAGCACAGAGCAAATGTGTCCTGCAAACGGTAAGGCAAGCGGTTTCGAGTCGCTTCACAGCCTGACACCCGGCCATCCTTTCTCTTGGGCTCCGAGTGGAACCGAGCCGCCGACCGGCTTGAGGACTCGAAGATGCTCTGCGCGCTGCAGTGAAAGGCTTCACACCTAGAAAGGGTCTGTGCACAGAGGCCTGCCGCAGCTTCTCAGGAGCCAGGCTGCTGCATGGCAGCCCTTCCGGCACAATGCTACAGGAGATCGAACGAGAGCGAGAGAGGTGGTTACGGTTAAATGGTTAGGTGGGTACAGGTATGTTGAACCGAAAGAAGTAGGAGTGAGACACGCCTGCTATGTTAGTGGAGTATGAAGGTATTTGAGGTTGTGGTTATCGCAGTTGGGTGGCTGACGCCGTTTGGCGTTGCTCTAGAAAGGGAGACTCTAGTCAACTGAATTCCGCAGATGAGGCCGATTCAACTCAATGACCACCCTTGATGTATCCCACATAAGCTTTCGTTCGAACAGTTCGGGTCGAACCTTCACCTCCTGAGTTTTCCTTGCGTGAAGGTGGGGGTGACTGAAACCGATTACAGCCGAGCCTGTCGGTTCCATTCGGTTCCATCAAGTCGTCGGGATTCAAGCATGCGATTGCGCGAGGATGCCGGGGGACTCTTAATGGGGGGGTCCTCGAGACCGGTTCATTCCAGGCACGTGTCCGGAGCTGCGTCTGCTCAAGGCCGTGCGCTATGCCAGAGCGGCAGAATCAAGTTTTGGGAAAAGACATGCGCAAGCCCAGGCATCATGAGGCGAATTGAGCCGCAAGGGCTCCGGATGGCAGAGCCTGGACTCGCTCGGGGGCAGGGAGAGCTTGTGCTGAAGTCAACTCGATGATGTGCAGTGGGATCGGCAAGACCGTCCCCCTTGCCAAACCTTTGGACTCGCTGCCGCAGATGCTGCCACTTGGTTCGACTGCTCGCTCGAATTCTGCAAAAACAGCTGTCTCGAACTCAGGAGCCTCCGCTTGGTGCCGAACAATCGTTTATGCACCTCTGTGATGGGCCCACTGGCGACGAGCCAGAGGTGGGCCGGGAGCTTGGCTTTGCTGGAGGCGTGTCGGGACATGCTGTGCATGCCAGTGTTGGGCGATCATGAGAAGATCTAGCGTCTAGGGGATTGCCGTATCGTGAGGACATGTTCGAGGCAAGCATTTTGCCGGATGTGCAGTGCTGGAATGTGGGTGGAGTGAGGGGGTCTCACTCAAACTGGCGACGTGCGCTGTCGTCCGTTCTGCGGATGGAGCAGCTCGAGGTGGCGCCAGATGTTGTGACTTTCAGCACAGAGCCCTGGCCGAGAGAAAGACGATGCAGGGGATGCCTTGTCTGAGACTTTTGTTGCAATGGCTTGCAATGATGGGGCTTTGGCGGTCTTGTAAGATCTTGCGATCTGCGGTACGTGTAGCACCTAGCTCATTGTCGAGTTGGCGGAGTCCCAACTCTGCGCAGCTTATTCAGACGAAGGCAATGGGCGCGACTTTTGGGTCGGAATGGGGCTGTGCGCTCATGCTCCTGCGGCACACTGCAGATTTCGGCGTACAAAGAGATTGCATAAGCTCCTTCGGTGGCAGCTGGCACACAGCAAAGGGAGCGAGGCATGGAAAAGCATGTGGACATTCATGAGGCAGTGTGATCCAGACTAACAGAAATAGTAAGGATCGCAAGAAAGAGAGTCTGTCAAAGGCTCGTGTGCGAGAGATTGTGTCGAGGGCGTTGATTCCACTCAGAATAGTGGAACTGAAGCTGTCGGGAAACCCGGCCCGGCCCGACTGTCGGCGCAGGTCTCGACTTCGTAAGTTAGAGCATCCGTTGAGATCTAATTAAGTTTGTTTGGCATACAGGGTTTTGGTGCAATGTTTGAGCAGCTTTTGCCCTCCACAAAAAATGTGGCAGAGGTTACAATGTGGCGATGAGCAGTTGTGCCGATGCTGGTGAATCTTGCTGGACTTCTGCCCTGCCACTTGGACACAAGTATTCCATCGTCTGCATGTGCAGTGCGAGGCAAGCTGTTTCGGCCCAGCAGGATTGCGCATGTGCCGGAAGTCAGGCACATTCTCTCGGCCCTGGGCGAATCGTGGACCGGACCGGATGCCACCAGCATGCGAACTCTTCTGTATGCTTTGGAGCGAGCACGAGCCTGGCAGCAAACCGTAGCTCTTCTCGACTGCCTGGACAGCTTTCGAATTGTACCAGGCACGAACCTTGGCTTTAAAGATGGATTGCAGAGCGGGATGAATAGAACAACACAATGTATTGCATGCCTACTGACTAATGCTTTGAGGCTGCACAGTACGTTTGGAGTCGCAGCACTTCGGCAAGCCGACAAATGGGAAGCGGTTGTGGGCGGCTTGTTGGCCATGCTGGCCAGGGGGATAACTCCAAACGCTGCTTGCTACCACCAGGAGTGCATGCCACTTCGGTAGATGTTGTATGATTTTGTCATGACCCTGTCAGCCAACCCTTCGCCACTATCGTGCCGAATCGTGCGGCAGGTAGCGGCTGGTTGCCACAAACGTCGGGAGTTCGGCATCGCACTCCTCAGCTTTTCCGCGTGCATCCTGCGCCGCAGCTTGGCCCTCGTCACCTCCGCTCTTCCGCTCCAGGCTGAGGCATGGCACGGCGCCCTGAACATGCTAGGCCGGGTCAGCCAAGAACATGGCAGAGTCGGGTTTCAGCAACGGCACCTAAGGGAGCTACTGCCTCGAGGCTTGGCTCGTGAAGCGGGCATGATCCTGGATGCTCCGGCGATCAGCTCCTTCGGCCGAGCCGGCGGGCCTTGGCGAAGTGCTCTCAGGTCCGACTCCTTTGATCCGTCTTTCTTCCCAGCCGCCCAGCCCGGTCCCAGCCCTGCGCCACAGGATTTTGTCTTCAGCGCAGCATGCCGACATTGAGACAGACCTGATTGCTTACAACGTGGTGTGACTCTCAGGGTCAGACATGTCTGAGTATATGTATATATGTATGCATCGGCCTGCGATCTTCGATGTTGGAGTCAAGGTGGCGGCAGGCATTGCCGCTGACAGCGCCTGGCGAGAAGCGGCGAATTCCATGTGCCAGGCGATCGCCAAGTCAGTCCGGCCAGACGACGTCAGCGTCAACATCCAGCTTAGTTCCGGAGAGTGGAGTTGGGGCCTAGACTTGTTGCAGCGGCAAGTGGCTGCCCGATTGAGAAGAACAACCATGCATTTCAATACGGCCGTCAGTGCTTGCGAGAAGCAGAGCGACTGGGCACGTTCGCTGCAAGTGTTTTCTCGCATACGGCAAAGTGGAGGACAGCCTAATGCTGTAACCTTCGGTGGGAAGATATGTGCAGACGCAGAGCAGTCCTGGCCAGCAGCTCTGCAGGGTCTCCATGCGATGAGTCAGGACCTTCTCATTCCGCCCAGTGCCATTCACTATGGTGCTGTCTTGAGTGCTGCCGCGCACGACGCAGTCTGGGGAGCAGCATTGCAGTGCATATCATGGATGTACAAGGAGCAGCTGCCTCCATCAGACATATGCATCGATCTGGTAATCGTTGCATGCGAGAATGCTGGACAGAAGGACCAGGCACTCATGGCACTGTGGCAATCAGAGGACCTCTCCTGCGCCACCTTTCCTTCAACGTTGTCTTAACGAATCATTCGTACCATCACGACAGTCCATAACATGAGGACTTTGCAATCATGCATAGCAGCACGGAGACTGGTGACAGTAGTCTCCAGTAGTGGCTTTGAGCAGGACAGCAGCATGCCGACAGCTTCCACGGCCTCTTTCTGCCTGACCACGCCTCAGCCAATGCTGCTGTAACCATGTTATTTTCTGAAGCACATGTTGAGCCGCAGAGCCTGCGATCTTGGCATGGGGCTGGCTGAGGGCCTTGGCGCGACTCTCTGTGCGCGAGCCAGAAATTCTGCGTGCCGCCTTTGACAGCGTGCCGGCTGAGCTGGATCATCCTGATGCAGACGATGTAGAGGTCTGACCTGACTTGGTCCCACGTTCCCAGAAGTGCTCTTCCCCGGTAGATTGATTGTAGATGCAGCAGGACTTGGCAACACTTTGGTGGTCGTTTGCCATGCTGGGAGCCTGGAACCCGAAAATCATGCAGGCTATCCGTGCCAAGCCACCCGACATAACAAGGTAAACATAAAGACCGGGGGCTGTAGACACACCCGCACATATGAAAGAAGCCTTCACTAGGTTCTTAACCTTTCACAGCATGGGTCGGCTTAAGCTGAAAACCGAAGGCTTCGAGACACGAAAGGGCCTTGCAACACCCTGCCGACCGGGCATAGCTGTGATTTGCGATGAAAGTTGTATGTCTTGGCTGCGACATGCAGGTTGATGGCCAGTGAGGCGTCACTGTCCCTGGAAGACTTGTCCGTCATCGCCTGGGCCTGTGCAACCTCTGTGCCAGATCTAGTCACCCTCCTCTGGGTGCAGACGGAAGCTAGGGCTTGCTGGCGGCGTGAGCAGGATCTCCCATGGCGGAGAGACTCCGCTCAACACTGTCAACACCTGCTGACCATCACCTGGGCTTGCAGCTTCGCTGAGTCCCTGACGGCCGCCTTTCGGTGCTTCGTCGAAGAGTCTGTGCCAAGCGTCGGCCGCCTCCTGGATGCCACCGCCGAAGCCGCCGCCGACGACGGGCACCCTCCGGCTTCTCCCGCTCCTGCTCCTGCTTCGTCGGGCGATGGGCCCCCGCGGTTGGAGGAAGCGGAACTCTCTAGGTCGCCTAAGCCTAGGCGGGAACAATCCTTGCTCAGCCTTTGCCGTATGCCGCTGCCCGCTGCCAGGACCCGAGAGTCGAACTCCGTCTGGACGACAGGCTTGTGCTTTACAAGCCTCCAGGATGGGAAGTGCATGATGGCTTTGTGCCTAATCAGAGACTCGTCTGCGATGACCTCTTCCCCCGCAGATGCTTGCCAGCCTCTCCTCTCTGAGGTTGCGCCACTTCCTTCAGGAGCAGGTCGGTCCGATGCCACTGGCACATGCCCCTTGGAAAGTGCAGCGGATCCCGAGCCCGAGCTGTTTCGGGAAGCGCCTCAGCAAAGGATCAGACCCACAGCTTTGGCTTTCTCCACCGTCTGGATGTGCCTAGTTCTGGCCTGGTGTTGGCTGCGAAGACATACGAGGCTCGCGGAGTAGGGTGTTGGCGTCCGTCGAAGGTCGAACTTCGTATCAGCCTCTGAAGGTCTTTAGTTTTCCGAAGCAGGCAGCAGCAGGCATCGTTTGGAACTTGCGCTGAGCATCACTTGGGCAACCGTGCACAACACAGCGAATCGCTTGATCGTGCATCGCATATGGGCTCCAAACTAGCTTCGGTTGCATGAGCTGTCTTTAAGCTGTTTGCATCATATTTTGTCCTTTTGGTCGTTGCGGCTGTCTGTCGCCTTGATTCTGTGTGTTTGCCTGACCTTGGCCCATAGCCCTCTCATGTAGATATCTGTAGGCCAAGACTATCTCCACACAGCGACACCTTTTGCGTGCATTTCTCCTCCATACCTATAATAAATCCGGGTATGAAGCCCGATGATCACAGCAGAAAAGTTTGGCACGCGAGCGAGTGGGTGAAGACTGGGTTGCTGACGGTTTGCACATGTTCTCCGTTCTGTTGGAACATGTCGCAGCTAAGATCTGGAAGGCCTTCCACGAGATGCAGGTGCAGCTCGCAGCCGGACTAATTCGACGTAAGTACCTGGCGATGGCTCACGGTTGGATGCCGTGCAGCAGGGAGGTTTTGGCTTCCGTGTCGTGGGGAGGTGGCCATCCGACTCGATCAGGCGCAGCACATGCGCTGGATCTAGAGTTCTAGAGGAACACAAGGCTTGGGCTTGGGGTTCTGGCAGGTGGCAGCGGCAAGGCGAGCAAGACGTGGTTTCACGTCCTCGCCCGGAACGCGTCCGCGACGCATGCGTTGAGCCTTCTTTCTGTGCAGATCTTCACAGGCCAGTGCAGGGCCAGGGCTGACTACTGGTAGCAGCCTAGATCATCTTGGCCTGGTGAGGTCGGCGGCACCAGATCCGAAGCCACCTCGCGCACATCGGTCACCCACTGGCCCGAGATGAGCTTTATGCATCAATGGCTACGCTGAATGCAGATCTGCTGCTCCGCACACGAACTTGCTTGCACCGCTTCAGCTTGTCCTTCAAGGGTTCCACTGGCGAAATCCATGATGTGGTGGCGCAGTGCCCTGCGGACTTGCTCACCTTTTTGTTGGGGATATTCGATGCACGGGACTTTCCGAATGAGCTGAAGCATTTTGTCAGCCGGCAGGGGTAAAAGGGTCGATGTGCAACTTCTGTGTGTGAACATTTGCAAGATGGGCGTCGTGAGCAATGGACATGCTAGGAGATGGCTACGCGACTTCAGAACAGCCCCGCAGCAGCGTCGGCGCAAAGACAAGGCTGCAAGCTGGAAGTGGGATGCTTTGGAGAGTGCTCGGATGAGGGTGACGTATTGAAAAGCGGATCCGAAGGGTTATCAAGCGCAAGAGACTCCTGTAGCAAGCTAGCCATGGTAGCCAGGAGATACCAGGGTTTCTGTCTGCGTTTCAGGCGGGATCCCTCTCCCAAGCCCAGAGGAGCTGCAGCATTTCGCTGAAAGCCCAGTCAGTTTTCCCGTGCTCAGCGTGATGCGTCAGAGCGGCAGAGTGTTCTGCATGAAGTTTGCTCATAGACTCATACAGGCTCTACCCCTTCCCATCCAGGCGCGGGTACGCGGCCCCGAATCTTTCTGAACTGTAGTGTGGAACCTCAAACCGGTCCCTCTTGCCCCACCGAGTGCAATCTCGCCTGGAGTGTGCGAGAGCCCACAGTCCACAACCGCTGCCTAGATAAATGAATTGTCATACATGTGCATATAGATAGGAGGCAGTGGGCAAATACAGCCGAGGGCCTTCGAGCAAAACATGAAGAAGCTGAGGAGAGAAACATAGAGAGACTTCGGTTTTGATTTGTCCCAGTTCCGTGCATCAAACATCCAACCTCCGAAAGAGACGCTGGACGTGGCTGCCTCCTAAACAAAGTTTCCGAAATCCCGCCATGCAGCCGGACTGGTGCGTAGGAGCCCAGGACAGGCTTCAAGGTTCGAGCAGAGAAGCAAGCAGGGCCACAGAGTTAGAGCGTAACCTCTGTTCCGTGACCGACAGAAATTGAGAGAAAGAGTCAGCGAGTGTTCTCACGCACGAAGCATGTTTGGCACATACCTACATCTGCTGATGTCGCCTCGATCCTGATTGCTAGGTGATGCAGGCCATCCGGCCTGATGGCAAAGAGCCAACTCCTTGGCTCCGTCAGAACACTGTCACTGCAGTGTTTGTGCAGCAGGGTGTGTGGAATCAGGTCTCGCCTTTATGGTGCACTGCTTGCGGTGGCCATGGGCATCTTGGCTCCACAGTGCATCAAGGCCATCGCTCGACAGTTGGTGGCCAAAAAAGTCTTTTGTCGAGGCTGGTGGCACGAGGTCTGCGGAGATGCACAGAAGTTCAAGAATGCGCACAGGCCTCGAGCGCAAACATGCTTCAGAAGGCTGCAGCGATGCTTCTCGCTACTTGTAGAGGAAAGCTCGGCGCTATTCTTTCGTAGTTGGTTGCAGCCATACAGAATAAGGCTCGGGCGTGCTGCCATCACTGCGTCGCGGGCTTAATGCAGCACGACGCCAGCCCACACGGCAGGCAATAGATCAACAGATCTCTGAAACATCGTGGGGGGTTCAAACTTTGTGGCTTTTCGCTGTGCTCAAGTTACACCATCCAAAAGGGGAGTGACGATGGCAATGCATATTTCCAGCACCTAACGCACCTAGCGTCAGCAGGATAGTGGGATATTCAACGGAGAGTGCTCCGCCATCCGCCATGGCTGCTCCCCAAGTTTACGGCCAGCAAAATGACCCCGCGGGGGATTTGCAGCGACAGATGGCCACGGCGGCCGCACAAACCGGTGCTCGTGCCGCTGCAGAGAGGGGGAGGGCGGGTGTTTACGAAGTCACGGCCTACATCCAGGAGAACCCAGCCAGTCTGAAGACCATGTGCTTTTGCATCGGCTTGCTACTCATGATTTTCAGCATCGTGACCCTCATCAACCCATTTGCAGTCTTGTTCATGCCGAGACACTACCTGGCCAACATCTACAACATCATGTTTGGGGTGATCATTTGCATCTGTGACGGCAAGGAGTCCTGGATGCGAAGTTGCGGCGATGTCCAAGCGAAGCTTTTCCAGAAGGCATTCATTCTGGCAAACCCGGCAGGCCGTGCGATGTTTTACATCTATGTCGGCACGATGACGATGCTTTTGGTGCCAGGGGATGGTTTGTGGATGATCATCTACATCATTTTAGGGTCGGCCTTGTGCCTTCTGGCTTTGACCATGCTCTTCATGCAGTACTGCGGTCATTTGTGTGGAGGGCGGAATTATGGACACATGAACACTCAGAATTCCGGCCAGGTCTAGCAATGTACAAGTCTCGCGCTCCATCGATGCATGGACGCCTGGACATCTGATGCAGAGTTTGACGTAGTCTCTCGCTAACTGCCAATGCCAAGGGCCAAGGGCCAGGAGCACACAAAGAAGTGGAATTTGAAGCCATCTATCAGCGAGTTGCAAAATCGCTGCCGTGCGAGTTGCATTGGCCATGCATTATTCAGTGAACCCAGCTGTTGGTAGCCACAGCCGTCAGCGGTCTAGGGCAAAGAACAGCCATGTCTGAGGCGGAGAGAGCTTGCAGCGGTAGATGCCGCAGTGAGGTGTCCCTGGCTTCCGGTCTCCTCACATCCGATGTCACACATATCACGCAGTGCATCACATGTTGCACATCACATGTCAGACGCATGTATACAGGCATGTACATATCAATGTTTATCTCTTCAGCCAGGCCGATGCCTGTCCGAAGGATCCGTGAGCTCTGGGATGCCAAGGAGATGGACCTGAAGGCGCTATCAATTCCCACCCACTCTGCATTCTTCTTGCGTTAGTTGAAGATCGCTTGTTCTAAGGAGCTCTGCAATTCGAAATTTCCTCCGTATTCAAGGGAGCCTCTTTAGATCTAGGTGGATTGAAAGTCAACTGTGCGAGTATGACTCTGCAGCCCGAGGCTTCCGGAGCTGTAGCAATCGACTTGGATCCTGTGCCAGGCCCCTCGTCTTTCGATGGAGTCTGGTTGAAAACGTGACTGCATACGGGTGTTTTTTATATGTATACAGAGAGACTGATCATCTTTAGTTGTTTGGGGGGGCCAGGGTCTACGTTGTTTGGGGGTCTGGGGCTCCTCTGTTGTACAGTAGTAGTAGAGTATTAGTACAGTAGCACAGTCGCACAGTAGTCCAGTGGTACAGTAGTTCAGCGGTACAGTAGTAGTACAGAGTAGTACAGTAGTAGTACAGTAGTAGCACAGGAGTAGCACAGTAGTAGTACAGAGTATACAGTAGCAGTACGGTAGCAGTGCAGTACTAGTACAGTAGAAGTAGTGCAGTACTAGTACAGTAGTAGTACATTAGAAACCTATAGACTTGGCAGCTACACAAAACCCGAGTTTGGAGCTTTGGCAATTTGGGCTGAATCCTTGAAGGCCCGAGGCTTTAGGTTTCTATATAGAAGCCGTATGGCTTTTCAATACAGAACGGGATTCTGGTTTGGTGTTTTGGAGGCCCCCGGCAGGCCGCGGCACTATTGAGGGGGCTTTTCATGCGAACTATGGTGGGGTGCGAGGCTATCGTATACGACCCCCTAGAAAACTTGATGGGGTTTGTTTTTTAGAAGGGTGAAGGCTGGAAGCTCTAGGTTTGGAGAAGGAAGCCGTATGGCGTTAGGGCGTCAGTTTGTCCTGGGAGTGTCTATTTCCGAAAAACAAACGAGACGGGAATTTACGACTATTGAGCGGGAGTTTATTATTGCGGGCAGGCCGAGTTTAGCTGCTAGCTCCATTGAGGGGGCTGCTCGAGTTTAGCTCTACTGAGAGGACCTTTATTAATCACGAGGTCACATTTTATGGGCATTTCCACTTGCACAAGAGCTCCCCATGCCATATTTCAACTCAGTCAACACTCTGCTTTTGTAGGCGTGCCCTCAAGCTGCTTCTAGAGGCTCATGTGTGGCACCAGTTTGCATGGCTGTCATGCCACCTGCGTTTGCCAAAGTGCAACGCGGCGACTCAGCATGCTCTGAGTTTCGCACCTCGCTCTTTTCCGTGTCTGGAATTTTGTGTCATGCCCCCATAAAGGCCCTTAACGCGAACATTGAAAGAATCAATCGAAACGGTGCTGTCCACACACACATAACCTACAAAGAGAGATAGGTGTATGTAAATACATAAATCACATTGTATCATATTGTATTGTATTTTTTATGTTTGTATGTTATATATGTATACACATTCATTATATTATATTGTATTATATTGTATTATATTGTATTGTATTATATTATATTATATTATATGGTATTATATGGTATTATATTTTATATTATATTATATTATATTATATTATATATTATATTATATATTATATTATATTATATATTATATTATATATTATATTATATATAATATATTATATATTATATATTATATATTATATATTATATATTATATATTATATTATATTATATTGTATTATATTGTATTATATTGTATTATATTGTATTATATTGTATTATATTGTATTGTATTGTATTGTATTATATTATATTATATTATATGATATTATATTATATGATATTATATTATATATTATATATTATATGATATTATATTATATTATATTATATTATATTGTATTATATTATATTGTATTGTATTATATTATATTATATTATATTATATCATATTATATTCTATTATATGACACACCATAAATTATACATCCATATTACCCCCAGTGCCTAGCGGAGCTTTGCAGAGCGTAGCACGCGCTTTTCACAGATTGACTTTTTGCCTCGTAAGATTTCGGCTCGAGCCTCCCAGCTCGAGCCCAAGATGCCTGGCCCTTGGGTCAGTGCCAGCAGCGATCCTGAAGGGTGGCAGGGCACGGTGCTCAATGATGGCGACTACGTTGAGTTCGCCTGCTATGACACCAGCCACTGCCGCCAAGGAACCGTTTTGGCTCGCCTTGACAGGCTGAGCGAGAAGGTCCGGCAAGGACAATGGGCGGAGGCGTCCTTCATCGCGGTGAGCGATGAGCACCTTAGATGGTGGCTAGACCATGGAGATGGAAAGGACGACGCCTGGCAGTTTGAGGTCCACTTCTGCCCCTCTGGACAACGCTCTTGCAGACAATCTAAGAGAGGGAGGGGCAAGGACTTTCACACAGACAAGTTCCGCATGGTGACGGTTGCGGACCTCACTGACAAAAAGATAGACTGGCTGAAGGCCAACCCCTCTCGGAAGTACGTCGAGGAGGAGATCGGGAGACTGCAGAATCTCCCCACGGGGAAGGACAAAGACGGACGGCCAAGCGAGTGGTGGCCTGGGTTTCCATGATGCTGCCCTTCCTCCGGCAGAGCCCTCTGAGGCTGATGCGGCCCTAGATGGCCTTTCGAAGCTTGAGAAGGAGATCGGCAGAGGGCGACCGGGCCGAAAGAGGCAGGGTTCTCCAGATAGACGACGACCCCCCACGGGGGAGGCCCCCGATGCCGGTGCTCAAGAAAAGAAGAGGAAGAAGTCAAAGAAGAAGAGGAGGAAGGATGAAGCAGCACCCGCCCACGGGCGTGCCTCCAGTGCTCCAGGGGCCCCAGCTGATCCGACGTGGTTTGGTCAGCCGGCCCACGGGCCAGAGGACGTCAAGAGCAGCTCCACCTCGTCGAGCTCCAGCCGAAAGAAGAAGAAGAAAAAGAAGGAGAAGACGAGGTCCAGGTCGGCCAAAGACCGTGGACCCTTTGGGGCCGGGCCAAAGCTCGGCTATGGAGGCGGAGATCTGGCATCCGAAGACTCTTCTGAGGAAAGCCAGCTTTTTCGCGAGGGCCCCCACTCCGGAGGAACCAGCCTGCAGCTGCAGCTGCAGGAGTACGCCCAGAGACGTCCCGGGCGGCTGGCTTCCAGACTTCTGCAAAAGATGCAGGTGATGGTCGCGAAGGAGGGGGGGCCGTTGACGACAACCAAGCTGGGATGCAAGACGCCGCCGGTAGCCACAAACTGGATGCTCACAGTGATGAGCCCGAAGCAGCCGCCGGTTCGGCTGCAAAGGGAGATGCGGACCCTGGCGATGGCCCTCGACGAGATCGCAGCAGGTCGCTTCCAGTTCGCCGCCGACGTGATCGCGCAGAGGCTGAAAGCCCTAGAGCTCTTTCAGAGCGACGGGGGCTGGAATCGGGCGCAGTACCTCGAGCTCTTGGACGCGGAGGGGCCAAGTCTTCTCGGCCGAGACGAGGCAGTGATGGCGTCCAAGGAGTGGGCCGGGGAGCTGCGGATGCGACGGCTGCAGTCGAAGGGATCCGGGAAGGCCGACCACAAAGGCGAGAGCCAGGCGATCCCGAAGGGGGATCAAAAAGGAGGGAAGGACGGCAAGAAGGGCAAAGGCGGCAAAGGCAAGGAGGCGCCGGCGGCCTAAAAGGCGGCGGCCCGGCCACGGCCGAGGGTGAACCACGAGAGCCGGCCAGCGGTTCGCGTGGGGCAGACTTCCTCGGCCCGGACCTCAACGAGATGATCTCCGAGGGCTTCCTTGACTTTGACTTTTGGTGACCTAGGGGAGAGCGACGATGAGGGCATCCCCACGGGGAAGGGAGTGGCCCAGTTCCTGTCCAACCCAGCGGGCGCCATACCCATGGAGGAGTGGAGGACCAGGATGAAGAGAGCTCTCGACCGCGAGCCTGGCACAAAGGGGGTGGGCAAGCTCTTGCTCGACTCGGTGCTGTCCCTCAAGACCGCCCTGTGCAAATCCGGAGGAGCTGCCCCCGGGCGCCGAGCCCAGCACCTCACGGGGCGGTGGGGGTCTGCATGGAGACTTGCTTCCCATCCACCCTGCTTTAGTCGTACAGGGCCTGGAGGGAATCACGAAGGACAACCTCCACTGGGTCCGCTTTGTCCTGGTCTGCCTTGACTTCCTCTACTGCTCTGCCTGGGCAAAGCCGGTTTGTGTGCCCATGGGCCGGACCCTGGGTGCAAATCAGAAGGTGGCCATCCAACGGCTGGGGTCCCAGGTTGATCGCCTGATCGCCAGGAAGGAGAAGCTACCTTCCGCTAAGGCGGCGGCCTCGAAACTTTGCTCAAAAAGATTCGACTACAATGGCCAGCCTGTGGACCACATGAAGGACCTCGACGCCACCAAGGTTATCAAGGCGTGGCCTCGTGTTGCGTCAGCCGCGGTGGTGGACCTGAAGGACTGCCTCCCACCAGACTTGGCAGCCGCCCTTGACAATCCCCGGCAGTACCTCCTTCCAGAAGCTGAACTGCCAGACCGACACCGGGGATCGAGGGTCAGGGCTTCGGAGACGGAGTGGCATAAGATAGTGCGAGCCGGTTACGACCGAGGCATGTTTGTTGCCGTCGATGACTCTGAGGTGCCAACAGACAAGCGGGGGCATCTCATCACCAATGGAGCCGGGGCCGTCACCAAAATGAAGAAGGAGGACGGCCGCGACGTGGAGGCGCAGAGATTCATCTCGATCCTGTGCCCAACAAACGACGCCATGCGGTTGCTGCCTGGGGTGCAAGACAAGCTCCCCTACATAGGCCAGCTCACCGCGGTGATGGCGGAGAAGGACTCCTACTTGGTCCTAGACTCGGAGGACCTCCAGTCGGCATTCAACCTGTTTCGTATGCCGCTGGAGTGGGCACCTTTCTTCAGTTTTGCCCAAAAGGTGAGAGGTGATGCGCTGGGCGGCTCACCGAACACATGGCTTCGGCCTGGTCTTAGGGTTGTCCCTATGGGCTGGACCTCGGCGGTCACCCTCATCCAGGCAGCGATCCGCCACATAGCTTATTCCATTGCGAAAATTCCTCCCCACGGGGATGTCACGATGGATGACGAGCTGCCGTCGTCGGGGGCCTATACGATCCTCTACTTGGACAACTATGATGAGATCCGCCACCTCAAGAAAGAGCTGGCTGAGGAACAGGCTGGCGCGCCGTCAGCCAACCACGTGAAATTCATCGACGCCTGCAATTCCTTAGGCCTCCCGCGGAACGAGGCTAAGCAGCTCTGCGGCTCTTTGACCGGGGCCCTCCAAGGAGGAGAAATCCTGGGAGAAAGCAGAGTGCTCAGGCACTCGTACGACAAGACCGTGGAACTGATCGGCCTCGGCATGGGACTGCTGGTCAATGGGACCATGCCCGAGCACTGCCTACGGCACTGGACGGGGAAAGCAGCCTTTGCAGCCGCTTTCCGGCGCCCGATGTATTCTGTCCTCCAGGAGGTGTACGGAGTCCTGGACTCGAGCAAGGCCGGGGCCCACCTGGCACTCCCGCTTCCGGTGGTTGACGAGGTCCTGGTGTTCACGGGGCTCCTCGCCTTAGCGGAGACCGACCTCTCCTCGGAAATCTCTGGGGAGATTAGCTGCACAGACGCCTCACCAACCGGGGGCGGTTGCTCGGTGGCGACGGCTTTCAAGTCTGCGACCCTAATCCTTCCTGACCCGGTGGTCGATGAGAACCTGTGCGGCTGCTGCCAAAGGGAGATGCAGGAGCCGGCCTGGCGCACCTACCCGTGCTCCCGGCGCTGTGGTCTGAGGATGTGCTCTCTGGCATGCTCCCGGGCCCACGCGGACTCTTGTACGAGGAAGTGGTGGCACACCCCGGCCTTCGGAGAGAGGTTCTCGGGCAGGGCGTTTCCCTTTACGAAGGCGGTGGCCCTGAAGGGAATCTCGACCCAACCTCCTCTCGACTACGACGTCCCGGGGGACACTTGGGATTACCGCACAGAGGACGGTAAAGCCCGGCTGGACGAACAAGAGGCAGACGGAGATCTGCTATGGAGCCACTGGTCGCCAACGAGAATCACTTTCCTCACCGACCGCACCACAGGTTACTGGGATTGGCAAGGGCACTGGGTGGATGGCGCCACTCAGCTGCGAGACCGCAGGCACCCAGAAGGCCTGCCGCGCCTTAAGCAACACCTTGGGGTTTCTGTTCGGCAAGCCAACGCCCTGGCGAAAAGAGCAGCTCGGGGTCTCACGGAGGCCAACAGGAGGGGACGCTTTGCTTCGCTGGAGCACCCGTACTACTCCTACCTTTGGGACCTCCCCGAGGTAAAAGCTCTCCAAGGAGAAGGCTGGTACCACTCTGTCTTCTCCACCTGCTGCCACGGTGGGTCCAGAGAGACCTGGTTGTGTGTTCTGCACAATTCTCCCTCGCTTCACGCAGTGCTCCACCGGCCAGAGTGCCCTGGGCACGACAACTTGGAGCTGCCAAGGGAGGACGAGGATGAAGATGAGTTCTCAGAGTACCCCTGGGCCCTCTGCTTGGTGATGGCGGAGGGAGTTTACGATGAGCTGAACTCGCGCTACTCCGAGCCCTTCGGTTCCCTTCCGCTCAACCTCGACCGCCTCTTGGAGCACCAGCTCCGTGGTGCCACGAAAGGCCTTCAGCAAGACGCTGCCGTCCAATGGGCGGTCTCCCAGTGCGCCTCCTTCCTGGAAAAGATGGAGGCAGGAGAAGAGAAGGAGCACTTCAAATGGCTCCTGAGGCATGCCTACCACACTGGCTGCGATGTGCGCCTCACCGACAGGGGCGACGACATCATGGGGCATCGCCCGGGCCCGTACCCCGCCTTTCGGTGGCTCTGGAGAGACGTGCTCTCCTACCGTTGGCGGGAGCCCCAGCACATAAATGTGCTTGAGATGACGGCCTTCCTCACCGAGCTTCGGCGCCGTGCCCGCAGCACCAATGAGCTTGGAAAGAGGTTTTTCTGTATCCTGGACTCCCTGGTCTCGTTCTACGTCCTGGGAAAAGGCCGATCATCTTCAAAGAGATTGAACAGAGTGAGCCGCCGCATTGCAAGCCTCTCGCTTGCGTCTGGTTTGATCCCCATGACCCTCTGGACGATCAGCAAATGGAACTACTCTGATGGTGCGTCGCGGAAATATGAACCGCAATGATCACCTTCGGTTCTTGGGGATCACGGCAAAAACCAGACGCTCTTATGAGAATGCGGTGGCAGATCTGTTCAAATACCTTCGCGCCCTACGGGGCAGGCTTCCGAGGTCCATGCAAGATTTGGATGAGGAGCTTGCAGAATACATCAATCACCTTTACCAGGAAGGTGACACGGTGACCCAGGCTGGATGGACCCTTAGCGGGCTCAAAAGGTTCTATCCTCGCTGCAAGCCCCACCTCCTCACTTCTCAACTGTACCTACGGAACTGGCAGAGAGTACACATGCCCCAGCGGACTCACCCAATGACTTGGCTCGGTGCCAAAGCCATGGCCGGGGCTGCGTACAAAATTGACCGGCCGGACTTGGCCCTTGTTATTCTTTTGGGCTTCGCCTTTTTCCTGCGAACAATGGAGTTGCTTTCTTTGAGGATCACCCATCTTCGCCTCTTCCCGGATCAGGGCACAATCATTATTGCAATTATTAATTCAAAGACCTCTCGTGGTCTACAGCAGTCACTTTCTTTAAGAGAGCCTGGCCTCGTTGCTGTGCTGGGTTTCCTTCTCGACCGGGTACGCCCGAGTTCTTTTCTATATGGCCACTCCGTGGCAACTTTCCGCCGTGAGTTCGCCTCACTGGTACAGTGTGTCGGTTTGCACCCCCCCGACTTTCTGCCCTACTCCTTGAGGCGTGGTGGTGCAACTGAGTTCTACCAAAGAACTCAGAGTCTGGGCAGAACAATGATCCAAGGGAGGTGGAAGGACGCCCAGACTGCCCGTATCTATATCGACGATGCTCGCGCCACTTTGGTACAGTTTTCTTTGCCCCCTCCCACGACCGCCCTTCAAAGACGACTTGCGTCGGTTTGGCAAGTGGCGGTGCCAGGTTGCTGTTCCTAACCGGGACAGTTGGCATTGGAGGTTGACGCAAAGTCTGGGGCGGAGGATCCTCCTACGGGAGAGAGGTCCACGGACCAGGTTTTGTGGCGCTGTACAATAGCGTTCCGGCAGCGCGTTGCTGCCTGCGCCAACCGTGATGCCTTCCAGCTCCTTCGGATAAAAAGTCCGAGCACTGTTGAATACCCCCAGTGCCTAGCGGAGCTTTGCAGAGCGTAGCACGCGCTTTTCACAGATTGACTTTTTGCCTCGTAAGATTTCGGCTCGCCACCTCCACCCCGCCACCACGCAAAGTCTGGGGCGGAGGATCCTCCTACGGGAGAGAGGTCCACGGACCAGGTTTTGTGGCGCTGTACAATAGCGTTCCGGCAGCGCGTTGCTGCCTGCGCCAACCGTGATGCCTTCCAGCTCCTTCGGATAAAAAGTCCGAGCACTGTTGAAATATATATATATATATATATATATATATGTATATGTCGAATATTATGTACATTAAATTATATATTATATGTAGTGTATATTATATATTCTATGTTATTATACATTATATATATATATATAGAAAACATTACATATAATAGACTATGGGTTTTAGATTGTATATTGTTGCGTGCGCTTGATTTTGCAGCAGGACTTTGGGCAGAACTCAGCAGAGCGTGCAAGGCTTGGCGGTGAATGGTGACATTCCAACGCCTCGTGTGCTTCTTGTCATGTCATCTGCGCAGCTTTGTTTCCAGCATGGTTATTAACGCCCAGCTTCCATGCATGCAGCCGTTACAAAGTAGCAGAGCTTGACTGAGAGTCTTGTAGACAAGAATTGACGATAGCAAGATATCGCACCATCAAGCTCGATAGCTTCACATTGTGCCGAAAGGATCGTTGTAATCCTTGACTTGAGATATATAGCTTCGTGATTTCCCTATCTTCATGGCGCTTATACCGAAAGGGCTTTCGGTGAGGCCAGTCTTATGCGACCCCGTGCCGTTGGGGCTTCCGCAGCGCTCGCGGACTTCAGCAGCGGAGCGCGCCCGCCCGAAACAGGCGTTCCAAAAACCGGGAAGGAGTGCAAACTGCGGCAGTTCGCAGCTTCGCAGGCCTGGTCCATCTCTTCGGCCGCCAGCCTTTTTGCGTGGCAGGGCCTCCGGTGCCGGAAGGCCTGCACTCGCAGCGACACCCCAAAAGGCAATTGTCGGGGTGTGCCGCAGGATCGACTTCCACGTGCATCTACGACGTCTACGATTCAGCGTCTCGGCAGGCGCCAGTCAGAAGATGATGTCTGGGAGTGGTACTGTTCGCCCAAGGATCGAGCCGGCCACAGATGCGGATGTCCGCCCAGCCGCCGAGGTGGCAGTGCGCTCCTTGCGCTGGACGAAAGGCCCTCGTCGGAGCACAGGGGTGCCTGCATGTGCCTGTGTTGCGAGCCTGTGTAGCACTGTGCAGGATGGCTTGACGAGCCGAAGTTTAAGGACGAGGACTACGCTTTGCTCGCCGGCCGAGAGGTGCAGGCTTATCGGAAACTGTATTTGACGGCTGCTTGGCTTGAGTGCGATTCAGGTTTTTCGTAAGAACGCAGAACAGGAGCACTGTCCTGGTTTTGCTGGCCACGACTGATGCGGCTGGAGAAGTGTTAACTGTTCTCCACTGTGGGTAGGCTCAGTGGTGGGCTCCGCTTCAGTTTGCCCAGCAAGGTCGGGTCTTCGGTGCAGAACACCCTTGCCGGTCAGACGGGCTAAAGATGGATATGGATTTCGGTAGAAGCACTGGCTAAGAGCATCACGGGAGCAAGAGAAGGCTGAAATCAAAGATGAGTACGCATTTACTTCCAAAAGCCGTGCGCTCAGAAATCGAATCTCCTAGATTCTCCTAGCAGACAGATGCCGAGTCACTCGCACTGTCGAGCCGGCCCGTCCATCAGAATCTTAGTCCAAATTCAGCATCCCCTCCGACTCCGGGCTGGCTACTTCCGGCGTTGCCGTGCGGGGCCGGCCTCCGTGATTGCGTGGTGACCTCAGCGACCTTGCAGCATTCGCCTCGTGTCCAAGGCTACTCCTTCTCCCAGCACGCTTCTGGTGGCAAGACTTCGACAGCACCTCGGCGGCTCTTTTGGGATGGGCAGGATCCTGTTAGCTTGGGGTCAACAGCTCGCGTGCGGACTTTCCAAGTGTGCGTGGCCGTGAGATTGCTGAAACGATGTAGTGTTTTGGAGCCGCACCAAATTCATGCCGGTTTACCAGGACAGAGACTCCGAAGAAGGAGGCCAACTCGTGGTTCGACTTCGGAGGATCAGGTGGGGCCCAAGTTGAGTTCATGTCGTTCAAAGCCGATCCTTGACGATACGGTCAGAAGCAGAACGGCGGAAGGCAGCGCTTCTTCCAAAGTGGTGGGTTGCGTCGGGTGCGAAGTCAAATGCTTCAACATCTTCACAAATGAAGAGCTGCCAATTTTCCGATCTGATGGTGGCAGAGAGAGGCTTGTCTGCACACACTCTCAAGGGTCTAATGGAGGTGAGAGAGGGAGAGAGAGAGAGAGAGAGAGAGAGAGAGAGAGAGAGAGAGTGCTCCCCTATCCTTCACCCTTGCGAAAGAAGGACAGACTGTGTGGTGGAGGGGGAAACCCCTTCACCCTTGCCCTGGCGAAAGACAGAAAAGACAAACCAGTGTACTGCTTCGGTCGTGAACTCGAAGCGGCCCAGGCTACATGCACTCGTAAGTCTCTGCCATATGAGCCACAACATTACGGGGGGAGATCCACGCAATACTGCATTGTGTGTCACCCGATGTTTCGTCAGAAGTCTGCTTGTTGAAGCTGGGAGGATTTCTTTGCAGCTCTAACCAGCCATCATGTTGTGTTGGCCCGGCCCTCGTGAATGCGCTGTTTCGCAAAGTGTTTACTAGGGCCCGAAGGAGGAGACATTCCTTAGAGGACAGCCCACAGTTCGGGGGGGGGAGGGGGACGCTCTCACGCCACGTGTAGGACGACAAGCCTGGCCGGAGCCTTGCAGAACAGTGCAGAGTGTAGTGTGTCGAGACAGGACCTGTCTAATGTTGCATAATGTTGCAAAGTAGGAGTGGTACATGTGTCATCCTGTACTGGGGGATACGACCGCTGATGAACCGCGAGTGAGGGGCCGGAGGTGGACTGCTTCCCTCCTTCGTCACGCACCGTAGAGCTAGGAAGGAAAGAAAGAAAAGGAGATAGAGATGCCGTGATGATGGCTCGCGAGGGAGGCGGGAGCAGGTGTCCTCCTGCCCCTGCTTTCCGCGTCTGTGAAGAGGACGCCGTGATGACGCTCATGACAATGATCGATTCGTCTGCTGTACAAGTAGACCGGGCCCTGCTGGTATGAAGTTACGAGTCCAACTGCTCGGGGGGGGAGGCATGGAGGAAGGTTTACAGGCGTCAGCTGTCGAACTCTCAATGCCGAACTTTGTGCAAGCCGCTGGACGGAGCTGGCACGCTGCTGCGGGGGGTACAAGTAGAGGAATGCTGGAATGCCCTCTGCTAAGGCCTGCCAAGCAAAAGAGTGAATTAGCAACACCGCTGTCCTCCTTGCCTTGCAGTCCCGAGAAAGCCAGAAGTGTGGAACAGCTGCATGCTCACATTAGCCTCCGAGCTCCCCACCAACAAAAGAAACACAAAACATGTTGATAAACTCAATCACTCGTGTCTGTTTCCCTTCAGTTGGACGTATGCTGCGGATGTGTCTACATGCTGCCCCAAATTCAAGGACCGTGCTGCGGCCAGTGATGGCAGATTTGGCTGTGTCCTCTGCCACTCGGATAGGTAGCAGTGCTTAATTTGACAGCGTGACCACCTACCAGTTGCCGTGCGAGCAAGGAATGCCAGGGAAGAGGTATCGGTCGACAGCTGGTCGAGAAGCTAGAAGAAGTGGTGTTCGAGGAGTGGGGCTATGATGAGCTTGTCTTGTTGGTGGAGGCGACGAACTTCCAGGCGGGAACAGGGTGTCCTGTTTGGTGCTCATCACTCAACACTAAAGTCACTAAGCACTGTAGTTATGAGTCGTAGGCGCAAAGTTTCAGCAAGAGGCCAGAGGAGTCTATGAGCGTTTGGGCTACCGATTGGCGGGTATCAGACTCGGACAAGTCACAACGTATTTGGATGCCAGTGAACCCCGCGACAGCACTTCTCGCGTCAAAGAACGCACAACTGTTACTTGGCTGCTGTTGAAAGGCGAGCAGAAACGTTTGCGCACGGTTATGGCGAGGCAAACATGGAAAGACTCCCGTGTCATGATCGTGCTAATCGAAACGGGCATTTTGTAGTAGAGAGGTTCTGAAGACATTCTGGATGACATTCCTGCAGTATCATGCAGCCTAGGTCGCATTTCTCCTTCGGAAGAGTTTGAAGCCTTTCCCGTGGGGAAATCTGGAAAACCAAAACTGGGGCCTTCTCCTCGCACTGCTCGGCGGGGCTGCGTACTTGCAGAGCTCGGAACTTGGCGAGGAGCTGCTTGGTCTTCAAGGTCCGGAGCTCTTCAGATACCTCTCAGACATGGGAATCACATTCCCCTCTTTTCCAGTTTGAATACAATCGATTCGCGCGTGCCTGCAAAGAAAGTCTGTTCTGTGCCCCGTGCCCGGTTTCCTGATGCAAACTCGCGGAGTGACATCTGCTCGAACTGCTTCGCTGTTGACCACAGGAACATCTCAAGGAACGCGCGGAACTCGGCTGGGAATCGGCAGAGCGCGCGGCCGCAGCGGACGTAATTAGGCATAGAACGCTTGTCTGCTCTAGGAGCCGATAGTCGTCTTCCGCGAGGGGGAACTGAACCGGTCATGACATAGAGCCTGCCCATGCTTGCCACATATAGCCATAGCCATACAGCTCTTCTAATTTCTACGTCGCACTCCTGTTTGCAAGAGTTCGAGTCGCTTGCTCTTACTATGTTTGTTGGTCAGCCTGGTGCACTTCTTTGTTCTTCAGACCTGGTTGGTCGAAAGACGTGTTGCGCAGATCGTACTCAACAATCCTGAAAGGGTTGCAACTGGCAGACGTCTCACCTCCTCACGCGGACAAGACAGATGGTCGGACATGTTCAAAACCATCCCCCATCCCTGGAGCCCTAAAACTCAAATCTCTCGCGCTGTTTCTAAACAGCACGGAATGTCCCACGTGGCATTGGTTCGGCGGAGTATGTGACGTAAGCAGGGCTGGCCGATGCCAAAGGTCCAAGCAAACCCGAAGTTTGCATCATTGCAACTCGAGCGAGCAATAAGTAAATAGCCGCTTAAATAGCCTTTGTCTACTGCCGCCAATGTTGTTCCACCCGCGAGGTGTATAACCTTGTTAAGGTGATCCAGCAGCCAGGGAGTCATGGAAGCTTGCGACTATAGTCGTAGTTGCTTCGGAAATTCCGCACACTTTCCAGTGGCCTGGCCTAGAGCAAGCACATCACCAAACTGCATCGTTTGCCGAAACCGAGCCTTTCGGGCTGCAGAAACAAGAGGCCCAGCTGCATTTGCTAAGGCACTGAATTGTCGGTGACTGGCTGTGACAAGGACGAGCAGAAACCTTTCGGTGACTTGCCAGAAAACTATGGCGCATTGATGCCGAGCAATTTCAATGCCACTGCCAGGTGTCGTCTTTGCGCTCTGCAGCGCTCTCGCTGCGGAGGTGCTGCGGGCTTTCCGCCTGATGGAGCTGGAGGCCAAAGAAGTAACAAGCGTGCAGTGCAGTTGTTAAGGAAGCGACTTGTTTGGCTAGGTTGTCACAGAGCTGCGCATCTCCAGAGCTCAAAGCTCCGGCGCCGAGGCCACACAAGAGTGGTCTTGACAAGTTGCAGGATGCGCTGTTGTTTTGCGAGCGCTGGAGGTGGACAATGGCGGCCTCCTTCCCGACAATCGCAGGGAGGTCTCTTTCCGGCTTTTCGTGCCGGTGGATGAGCCTTGCTCTCTGCCCTACTTATCGAGACAGCAACGTGAAATTATCAAGCAGGCAGAAGATGTCCCGCAAGGTCAGGGCTTGACTCTCCGGCTGCTTCGTTGACTTTGCAAGCAAAGGCCCTCACTGGACTCACCGTTTCATAGTCGGGACTTGGATCAGCCACTACTGCTGCAAAGCAGGATCGCGAGGTTGCAATGTCCTATCCCATCAAGGACCGATTGGACTCTGCGCGGTACGGCATGTCTGCGCTGCGTGGTTGGCGCATGGGTGTCTCGTGCTGTCAGGCCGGGCGAGTGTTCATTTGGTGGAGCCGTGTCGGCCTCGGTGTAGGAGAGATCAGCCTTGGTGTGACTGGTGCCCTTGTGCGAGGCCAGACCTTCCACCAAATTCTCGGAGGCTCTCGAGTCGTGAGCTCTTGTCAAATTTCTAGCAGAAGCCGACCACTGTCTGTGCTTAGCATAGCATGGCACAGCATGCCATCCAGCCGCCTGCAGGCGACGGCTGCATTGCCGAGCCTGAGATTTGTGTTATCGTCGCCGTGGCAGTCGGGACAGATCTTGCTTGAGCTTCATGGTGTTTCTCCCTTCGCTCAGGCGATCTGCTGCTGGGCTGTCATAGCACAGAAGCCGGGATGCCTAGTACGCAGTTCGAGCACATCCTGCAACCGTGACTGTGCATGTGTGAGTCAGGTCTGATGCCAAATTCTCGCAGCGCACGTGATCGCGAGAAAAAAGGCAAGCACGAGCTGACTGCAACAGTTCTGAGGCAAGCATAGGTGATTCTATGCTGACAAAACATGCGGGTGAGCCCATTTCCATACCGCTGGGTCGAATCGTCAGCCCAGGCTCAAAACCTGTTGGCTCGTGTTAACTAGATAACCAGGTTTTTCGGTCATGTAGCTGCCAGATCTGCTTGGTAGCTTGGCCTGCACAAACAGCCCTCAACGACCAGCAGTGACTGATTGCAAGCCAACCTGTTGAGACCAGACCTAGCATCTAGTGGATCGAAAGATTGCCTTGCCCGCGTAGCCTACATGCTGCAATAGCTGGGAAGCTGCTTTGCATTCACAGTTGGCCCCTCAGCTTCAGCTTCTGCCCTTATGCTATGTGTAGCTGACAGTCGAGTCAGCCGGTCAAGAACAGGAGCCGCGATGGGCAATTCCCAGGGACCTGGGTTGTGGAGCCCTTACTGTCAACGTCCGCAGACAAAAAAAGCCGAGCAGCCGAGAAGATCACAGTCCTGAAAAGTGCGATGGCAAGGTTCGGCGGCCCCAAGTGCTGTTTGGGCTTGGGAGGGAGCACCGACATGCAAAGTCAGCTTCCCAGCACTTGGAACCAGGACTGTCTTGTGATGCGCTTACGTTTCGTCATCAGGCATGGTCTGCGGCCGCTCGAACGAGTACGATTTATCAGTTCAGGCTCGGAGATCCGCAACCAGTGCGGTGTGCAAGCCAAAGCTCGATGGCAGGCAGAAGCTGTTGGCTCACCAACGTGCTGCCTCGCTTGGAGGCCGCCGACCATACAAGCACCTGCGAGCAAGATGTGGCACAGCAAATACTTGACAAAGTAGTCTCAACTGGCCCGACTGCGGATTGTGGGGTTTCTGGCGCACGTCGATGTTTTTCCTGCACCAGGCTTGGCGTCGACACTGCGGCAGCTTTCCTGCATGTATCTTTTGATAATTGCTAGTCTGTCATGTAGAGTCGAACGCATTTATATAATTGTATTGCAGCGATTCGTGGCCAAGTTCGCCATAAAAGTGGACCAGTTGCAGAAGTTGCACGAGCAAGCCGCGGTCCCAGAAGTCAATCGTTGCTGCCATGCACCTGTTGAAGTCCTGTTGAGACCGCAGCACACCTACGTCGCCTCGGTACGTGTTTGCTCAGATCGTGAGCCACCTTGCCTATTTTGAAGCCCACATGTTGGTGGACGACGCGACCAGCGGCACCTTGGCTCAACAGGTCATCCATCTCATCGCTTAGCTTTCTTGTTCGGCTGCTGCGCAATGATACAGTCTGCTGAAGACACCCGTACAGAGAAATCTATAGGGCCCACACGTCACACGGCCGATGAGGGGAGTGGTGCTGTGAAAGAGCTTGTGCAGCTGTAACCTGGGCTGCTTCGGAACTCTGCGTGCGGCAAGGCCTCATAATGGGAAGCGGGGTAGAAGGCGCGAGCATGCAGGGGCCTCAGCTGCGAGTCAGCGAGCCGTTTGACCCTAGACTAGACCGACCTCCTTGCTGAGGAACGCGCCCGATGCAATGACCCGCATGGGCCAATTGCTGTGCAGGCCAGCGTTTCAAGCTGTCGAGCAATCACGAAAGCATATGCATTTTTAAGAAGTCTCCGACTAGCGGCAAATGCGAGAGCAATACCTGAGACAACAAGGTGTTGCAACATGTTGCAGCCGGAAAGAATTCTGAGAGAGCTCTGAGCACAAGTTGTTCCACTGCTAACCGCGTGCCAGATGGGCGCTGTCACAGTCGCCGTCGATAGGTCTCCTAGTGGGAGTCCGGCTCTCAGCTGCCGTCGCACAGCCTAAGTAGTCTAGGTATCCTCCGTTACTTAGAGCGACTCTTCGCTAAGGTTGACTACGGAATACTGTACAGTGTCAACGGGCTGCTGCTGGGCCTCAGAATTCACATCATGCTGTGTGTCGATCGCACCGCATAAGATTTGCCCAGCAGCTCAGAGCCTGCAAGGTCCATGCAAAATAGCAGTGACAGCCGCGCCTTTTTCGGGCCGGTCTGCGCAGGCACGGTTAAGAAATCGCCCTGTGTTTTGCTGCACTACCCAAGCCACACGCCATCTCTCATAATCTGTCACGCCTTTTCAAACAAGCTTCCGCACTTGGCAAAAACTTGGGGCATTAGAGGTGCTCGGCAGCTGGCTGACGCCTCGAGGCACGAACTCTTGCCCACATCTCCGTATTTCGCAGTTGAATATGAATTTTTCCTGAGGCAAGAAGGCATGGTCCACCTGTCCCTCGAAGCCAAGCAGCAGCTCAGTGCGCTGAGATTTATTCCGCTGATTTTGGGCAGCCGGCTCCCTGGAGGAAGTAGTTCATTATCCAGAAATGGCAAGTCTCATTCCGAACCCTCTACTGCGTCATCTTGTGTGTCTTCGCATCGACTCACTGTCGACATGTCGGGGGACATCCTGCTTTTCTGAGCTGTCTTGCAACATCTTCAATGCCCGAAAAGCATGACCTTACATGGTGACAGACGCCCGAATTCGCTTCAGCCTAGCAATGCGGCTCATTCGACCCTTTCCATGCTGCAACGAGTGGCTGAAGGTCAGAACAGGTTCTACCTGGATGCCTTCACGGAGGTGCACGGGTCCGTGTTGCTTCCTCGTCGTAGCCTTGCCCGCCACACGGCGTAATGAGTAGTGAGACTGAAACAGGTGACTGACCCCAACGAGCAGAAGGGTGAAGAGTCGCGGCCTCTTCTAAGCCTCGTCGACGAAACCCAAGCCAAGGACAAAACCTGCACTGCGTATACACATGCTGCAAGCGTCGTAGCCAGACGGAATTGTACTTCAGGGAGCGCATCATGCTCGCGAAAGGTAAATCAAACAGCGCAGTGTGTCAAGAGACATCTGAAGAAAGCCATGTCAAAGATGGAGTCGTCAGCACGAGCGTTGCTGTGCACAGGACGTAGCAAACAGATTGCCGCTTGATTGCACATGCTCGTTTTCGTGCCTGCCTCACGACAAGTTGAAAGCCGTCTCTGAGTCTCAGGTCTTATGAAGAATTCAAAGACCTCTTGCAGCAGTATCAGGTAGACTTGTCCAAATTTGGCAAGGCGAGACAGTTGCTAAAATTTTCAGCATGTGCTGGAGATGCTTTGCGGCTTGCACGTGCAAACAGGGCAACACCAAGCCATTGCAAAAGTTTTTTGAGTCCGTGGTAATCGAAGAAAAGCCTGGAACCCAGCACTGACCCTTGCGCTCAGCACTGTTATCTGTGGTGTGGCAAACTTTGCCTCTTATGGATCATCTCTCAAGGTGCTTCTTGCAGCTCCGGGGCAACACCCTGCAACGTTTCGTCGAACTCGTGCGAGTTCACTTGCGTTTCCCGGCCGGTGCAGACGAAAGTCCTTCGGACTCCCTCCGGAGAAGAGCGCTCTGAGGCTTTCGCAACAACGAAGGCCGGCTGCAGGAGCTGAGGATAAAGACTGAGCGCTCGCCTTGGGCCAGCCAAGGGCACTCGGCGCGTGACGCGTACAAAGCCCGTTGCCCTCGCATACGCTGAGGATGACCGACGCAGGTACAGAGCGGGAGAGAAATCAACTGTTGGCCATGGTGGGGAACTAAGCCGTTCAATCCACTTTGCTTCAACTTTTCGGGTGCTCGGTTCACTGCTTGAGGTCATGAGGCTCAAGGACCAGGGAAGCTGGAAGCAGGTCGAAGTTGCGGAAACTTGCTGGAACTCGAATTCAGTCAGCATACAAGAAATGTGAAGTCCACGCACCCGGCCAGGCCCTGGAGCGGTGCTTCGAACAGAAGTTTTCGATCTCGGCAGGTGTCGAAGCCTTAGCATTCGTGAAGTGTTCGTGAAGTCTTGCTGCGTGGGCGGATGACCCATCGAAGTTGCATTCAGGCCCAAGGCAGTCTTTTTCACGTCGCGAAAGATGTGCCTCGGCGGCAGGGGATACATGCTGAGAGGACTGGCTGCACTACAGTCACTACATGCTTGAAGGCGTACCCGTTTCAGGGTGACGCGACAGGACCAAGCATATTAATCATTGGACATCCCTGGCTGAAATGTTGAAGCACCTGGTTGTCGGATGGCTGAGATCAGGCCGTTTGCGGCGAAAGGCATGCACGAGAACAGGTTGCAGTTTAGTCAGTAACTTGCGGTGTTCCACAAAGGGTCGTCTACCAAGCAGGCCTGTCATCACAGTGCCCACTGGAGTACAAGTAGCCACGCCATGGCAATCGACCTGAACGAATCTGGGGAGCACGAGGATGGTGCTGTCGAAGAGACTATGGTGGAAGAGGAGGTCTTGGCGTGTCAGTTCGCCTCCTGGTTTCCCACGTGCTCTGGCAGCAACCAAAGTCTTTCTTGGGCTAGTCCCTCCTACAGTACAGGTTGCAGATGTGTCCAGAGATATCCCGAGGTTCAGGGACGTGACCTTCAAGAGCGAGATCCTCCCACTCTCCGAGAATTTCGTCAAGTACCTCCTGGCTGATGGAATCCATGTTCCAGTCTCGAAGCCGCAAGATTCGGATGGGGCAAGCGATGGTAGCTGGGGATCTGGTGGCGATTCTGCCGATGAAGCACAGGATCTGGAGGGAGTTTTTGATTTTCCGGAGCTTGAGGATTCGGTTCGTTCAGCAATCTCGCGTCTGAATGGACAAGTCCTGCCGAAGCTCAACTGGAGTGCACCGAAGGATGCCCACTGGATTCATGGGAGCTTAAAGTGTACTACCCCAGCCGAAGTCTTCACGCTGCTCAAGGCCTCCGACTTCGTGTCTCATGATTTGTGCCATGCCTTCGACCACTGCGGGCCATCCGCACGGAGACGACCAGATGACTTCACCCTGGTGTTGCGACGTTGGCATTCACTCCACGATTCCAGCGAGTTCAGAGCATTTGTCAAGGACACCGACCTCCTTGCAATTTCTCAGCGTCAAACGGGTTGCTTCTTCGAGCACCTGATGAACAAAGAAGAAGTCGAAGCCATCCAGGCTGCGATCCAAGAGTTCTTTGAGCAAAAGATGCAAGAACGCTTCAGATTGAAGCGGTACGTCTTTGACGTGTATGTCGACATACCACCCAGGCGGCGTGTCTGGTTAGTGGACCTGTCCCCGTGGGGCCCGACAACAGATGCGTGTCTGTTCGACTGGGATGACCTAGCGGAGATGTCAGCAGCGAGCTCGCCCGAGCTTCGCGTGGTGCAGAGCGAAGCGGAGCGCCGCGGGCGACTGGAGAATTTCCACCAAATTCCTTTGGAGCTGGCAGAGCTGAGCTCCAAGGAGGGCTTGTCAGAACTCATAGAGAAGGCCATCATCAGACTCATTCCATGTGTTCTTCGTGTCGCCGTGATGTGTAGATGATGACTGCTTATAGCCCCACGGTCTTGCTTTGCGCCAGCTTTGTCTTCTCTCAGTCCCAGCCTGCAGGCGGACAAGATCCTGGCGCAGAAGGAAGAACAGTCCTGACTCCGCTGACGTAGTGGATTAAACTTGCCACAAGCCGCGCACGCCCGTTCGCGAGAAAGAGTGCGTGGCGCTTTACCGCGTTTTAAGCTCAAGCCTCTATTCATCATTCGCTGCTTGCTGTCGTTGGTCGTGAAAGTAATGGCAACCGCACCGCGGCATCTTATGCTACCAAAGAAGATGTGCGCTGTCACCATGTCGCCCAGCACTAAGGCGTACAAGTACGAAGAGTACAGCGCCGAGTCTGAGACGGTTCCAGACATGACAACCACCTACAAGACGCACAGCGTTGTGGTGACCATCAAGGAAGGTTTGATTTGGACTCCATGCGAGCCAAGTTGCTTGTAAGTGTCCGGTGTCTTGCTCCATCTCTTGAAGAGGACAAGACGCGAAAGGAGCTCGTGAGCATGGGTCTGCCGGCGGGCCAGGAGTGCACACGTCTTGATTGTTCAGCCCGTCTAGGGCAGCGAAAAGAGCGAATCCGTTTCGTGTCAGCATGGAGCCTGTTCATAGCAGGCTGGACGATAGCACAGAAGCCAGACCATGCCTCGGTGTGAGTGGAGGACTTCAGCACCGATGATGGCAAGACGAGGCCGTGTTTCGCGCAGGGGAGAAAGGGTCCAAACCAAGGGGCATCAAGTGGTTGGGTTGTAACGAGCTGAGCTCTTTGAATGCAACAGGTGGACCTGGGTGCCTGCAGGGGCTCCCAGTGGAAAGAAGCAGCGGAGTGAAGGCTAGCTGGCTAGCTTTTCTCGGAGAGATGCGGGAATCAGGTAGAGAACAACAAGGAAGACGAGCTTATGCAGCTCCTTTCCCAGCATGGCGTCCCGGACCTGTTTGGCGCCTGTTTGGAGCTGTTGCTCTGTGCTGATGCCTGGCCACAGCCAGGTATTGATCTCAGTGAGTTCACCTGGCAGAGCTTCGTGGAGCTTTATTCGGAGGCCTCTTCAGTCGGATCGGCAGCTTGCAGTCGTTATGGAACTTCTTGCCGGACATGATGCAGGTCTACGAGAAGTCTTTATCTACAATCCAGGTCGTTGATGGACAGCTGGTACGAAAGGTAAAGGTTGTGAAGGTTTGGCTTGAAGCGAACTTGCTCAGCCAGAAGCAGCTCGGCAAAAGCTTCGAGAAGCGGCACTGCAACTGCGACAGGCCTGGGGCAGATCGTTCGCGATCTAGCTAAGGCATGTGCTGATCATTAAGACCAAGCAGCAGCAAGGAGTCCCCCCCTTCACCTGAAGTCTGCACCCTCAAGTGCTTTACATTTATGTGGGGTCAGATCCGCCTGCACGTGTTGTGGGTGCTGTGTGCGCCTCCTGGAATGGCAGAGGACGGGTGCAGCACCTCCGCAACTTGCGAACCTTGTCGATGCGGATGCGAGCGATGCAACATTGGTCGGACGCCGTGTCTGAGGTGGACAGCTTTCTTTGAAGTTTGCAGTCTGGCACCGACCAGAATTTAACTAATGCTAGAAGACGACGGGAGAGTTTCGAATGTGGAGGCGCTTTTTCTTCGCCTCGGTGTCCCAGAGCAGCAGCAGAAGGACATGCTCAGCGTGACCAGGTCTGAGACAAGGGAAGAGGCCAGATCTTGCCGCCGATGGCAGAAGCTGTGCCATTTTCGGCTGATCACCCTCCCTCCAGGTGGAGTTCTCGGTCACCTTTCCTGGTTTGAAGACTGTGTACACCATCATGGAGGTTCGATGTGAGGTGCTGAACCCACAGGACCCTTCACACCCCACCAGCACAGACATTTCGTTTTGTAACACTGTTGATGGATCATCGGCAGGACCAGCGGTGGCAGTATATTGGGCTGCCGTCGGCGGAGGATTTTACATTCTGTCGCCAGGCCAGTCACGGGTTCGCTGTGCAAGTTTTCACGCGTACCAAGATTTCTGCACAGCCTGAGCTGCACGCCCACCGAGGAGCAGCTGGCTACTGGCGAGTACGACATGATTCTCACCAGGTGCTGAACATGGGCTGTTGAGCATGTCGGGGCTGCATAGAAGACCTGCAGACGACAGGGGACGAAGGTCACATTGAATGCTTGGCATTTGATCTCTCTTTGCTGGAACGCCGTCTGTTGCCCAAGCGGCGCCCTCCCTTAGCCAGAAGCTGTCTCGAGGATGGCTTTCGAGTTCAGTGTGTTTGGTGTTCTGGCTTGCCTGTGCTTAGCAGCCTCAGCGGCGCAATGGTCAGTCGGAGTCGTGCTGGCCAGTCTGATCGTCGTACTTCTGGGCATTCGTGCGTATGTGGGCGTCCCTCCTACAATGAAAGGGAACAAGCTACCGAAGCGGCGATTGGATTGATCTTGGCATCTGTTGAGCTTGTTGATGTGCGGTCAAGATGGAAGCCAAATTTGGTACCGACTTTCTAATCGCAATAGGCCCCGCCAGCCCAGAGCTCGCACCAGCTTGACATGACCCGAGATATGCGGGGAAGCGCTTTGAGCTGATCGCAATGCCGGTGAACCACTTTGGTGAGAAGGTCCGCTTCTGTTTGGACCTGCTGGGCCCCCTGGCAGCGGAGTTTTCAGATCGCGGGAACTTACCACAGCAGCATCAGGGCCCTCGAGGTGTGACAAATCTGACAGAAGCTGTCGTCTTGAAATTCGGCAATACGGATCCGGGATTGGAGTTCCAGGAGCGCCAAGCACGAACCGAACGGCCGTGGTAGTCGCGGGAGTCCTTTCAACACAGGCCGTTTACTCGTGTCGCTTCATGTATGCATATATGAGGTCTTGCTTATGATGAGACTACAAACTGCGGCATTCTGAACATTCTGCTCTTTGGCCAGTCGGTGCCGCAACTCAATGACAGGACCGGCGGGTCGTGATTTTTAGACTGATGACCACTTGTTGCAGGGCTTCCTTTCCGGAATGGTTCTCTTCTCGATTCACTCAAGCCAGCCAGGAAAAGCTGCAGCCACATCGGTAATTCCGATGAAATCCTGCGATACCTGCATGGCTTGTACACCACGAGCAACAAGGCAGCGGATGCATTGCTCAAGCAGACTGAAAAGACGCTTGAATGGGAGCTCGCCTTGACTCTGAGCTGACAGAATTCACGGCTTTCTTCAGGCTGCTTTGTCAAAGGCACCCGTTGATAAATGCCACAATGGTTCTTTGGAGTTTCAATTAACGAATCGCCCTTGCAAGCTCCAAGGAACGACCTTGGCCATGCAATCCAGGGTTGGGCATACTACTACCTCCTTGGAAAGGACTTCTCGACTGAGCTGCCTGACTTAATTAGGCCTTTTGTCCGAGGTGCTGTAAGCTGATTTCTGTGGCTTCAGTGCAACTACGCATCTTGGTGCAGGACGGCCTTGCTTTGCTGGGGCGCATATGATGAGAGATGTCCGCTCGTGCAGAGATGCCGGCTTCCCAGGGCCGCCGTGGCAGTAAACACTTTTCACTGGACCGGGTACGTCCGAAGTTCATGCGAGAGTGCAATGTAGTTGCCCTCTTATGCCCTCTCCTTTTCCGGAGATGTAGTTTTTGCACGAACTAGGTCTGTTGAACGCCTGCGCCTTCCCGATCAAAGCCTTCATGCGCTCTGCTTTGAAACTGGACCGAGCAGATCTGCGAGATGAACGTAAAGCCACCATAGATGACGTCTTGAAGCGTGTTGATGCTGCAGTCGGACCCGACGGGAAGGGTTACATCGTTGGCGACCAGCTGACGTATATTGACATCACCTTCGCTTCTCTGTTAGCCCCGCTTCTGGTGAGCAGGTTTCTGTTCAAGGATCATGGTCGCACTAGTAAGTTTTACTTTCTGGGCTCGCTAGTCACTCTGTGGTGCTGCTCGTTTCTTCGCACCGAAGTGACAATTCAAGAGCGGATACCGTCAACAAAAGGCATAGGATAACAAGGCCTAGTAGGGTATGGGTGTTGAGATTCCGCCGAGGTTTTGATGTCTGCAACGATAGCACATTTGCTGGTTGCAATATGCCCAAACCTGCATGCTTGTAATTCACGTACCATTTGGTGTTTACTTGGGCCCAGGATCCGAGTGCCTGGGCGCGGGGCCGCTTTCGCTCCTTTGCAGATGCTGGTAAACGTGGCTTTGCCAGATCTGCACCGCCGGTGCTCCAGGCGCCTAAGCCTGTAAAGCACCGCTTTGGCATGATGGGGTGCGACAATTTGTACGTCGGCAGGTTGTAATACCGGGATTATCAAATCCTTCTGCCTTGCACACCTGCCTCCAATATCTCCTGTCTGTAGGTATTCGAAGAGGAGACCGCGAACAGGCGGGGGACGATTGCACCTGGCAATCATTGCCAGTAGTCTTTTTGTCAAGCTGAGTGCTGAGCCATGACTTCCACTTCAGCATCTTGTTGGTTGTAGGCCCTGCGGGAAGTTTGTCGCTCGCATTTACGACGAGTACAGGAACAAGATCTTGTGACCAGTGCGAAGTGCACCCCCGCGCGACGTCGGTCGCGACGTCTGCGCATGAGGTGGCATTCGCTTCTTGCGTTCCGTGAGAGCCTTCCGGTTGTGCCCCGGCCATTGTTCGCCTCGGCGGCCGCAGAAGAAAGCGCCAGTGGATGCTTGCTTGCGCGAGTGCCAACGCTTCCAGCCTGCACAGGGATGTTCGGCACAAAAGAGGCGCTATTACATGCCGTTCAATATGCATGGAACAATCCCGTCCGGCCACGCGCCTGCTTCACAAGGGCCTGGTATTGTGATGCACCCTAACTACGACCTGTTCAAGATAAGTAGTGCTGTGTTTGGGCGATGTTGTGAACTCTACGTGTGCCCACATTCTGTCTTTGCATAAGTCATTCTCATTCTTAGATGCGACTTCTTTTCTGCCGGGCAAGGACCATCAGCTAGTGTCTGCATACCGCCGTGTGCTGTACCCTTTTGATGTGTTCCCGAACATAAAATGCTTTTTCTGCGGCGGGCGGGTCGGGGCCGTTTTTGACACCGCCTTTAAAGCACTTCTGAATAATTCTCGCGCCAGGTGGGGATGGACAAATGCTGCCGAGATTGAGCACCTAGCCTACATGTTATTTGGGGGCAGTCCGCTGTAGGATGTCTAATGTGCACTTGGCTGTGCCTTCGAAAAGTTAATGGCTGCAATCGCGTTTTGCACGCGGCCAGTTGTCAAGCTTACACTGTGTCAGTGAGCAGTCAGTGAGCCCAGTGTTTTGCTGTGATTCCTTAGGTACGAGTCTCGAAAAGATCTCCGAAGGTGCCAGCAGTGCCAGCTGGAAGCGATTTCTGCAACAACATACGCTTCATGGTTCATGTTGTTGAGTTCGCAGGCCGAGCCATTATGACGAGCAGCCCAAGCACGAAGCGCTGGCGATGCAGCTCGACAAGAGCAAGAAGCAGGCCTTCAGAATGCCAAGCATGTGAGGTGACTGGATACCGACATGAGCTGCTTCAGCTGATATCACTGTCGTTGGCGTACTTGCCAGGTGGTCCCGCCTGAGCCGTTGCCAGTAAGCGGGCTTCTCAGCACGATCCACCTGTGGCCACCTCTCAGCACCAGAGCCTTTACAGAGTCGTGTGTTCAGGTGGCAAGGATGAGTTGCTCATCATGAGAGCCTGGGGCCTGGATGCTGCGAACTGGTATCTGTGTGCAGCAGGTGTACTGGGTTGCGCCAGTGGGCTGCGTCTGTCACCTAAGGTCATGGATGGGAAAGTCACTGACTGGACTCGAGCCCGCACAATGCTCAGACTTGTGCGATTGTGAACGGCAGTCTGCGCTGCAAGAGGACTGATATCACTCCGCAGCGAAGGTCGAGCCGCTGAGCAGATTCGAAGTCCGAGCTACACGACGAAGGTGCCTCGCATCGTCCATGCTACTGCTTCACGGCAATCATCATCCTCTCGGCTGTGCTTTTATCCGGCATGTTTGAGATGCCATTCGGCGGAATTTGAAAGGTGCAGTGCCAGAAACTTCAGGCCATGTCGGAGGGCTTGCTGCCTGCATTCGGCAAGCAGGACTTCTACAGCGACTTGGTGGCGGCCTTCCCCGAGCTGCGGCTGTACTGCGTCTGCGGCTTGAAGAGCTTGAAGCGTTTTATCTTGCCGACGTGGTAGAATTGACCGCTTGTCAGGTGGTTCGGGAGGCTGCACCTCATGGTGAGGGCCGGGTGCTGTTGCCGTCCATCTCTACACTCACGACATCAGCCAGTCGAACAGGCTCGGATCAAGATGCCAGCAGTCTTTAGGTCGAGGGTTTCAAGCTCTGCGTAGGACCCTCGCAGCATTGCAGCCATGATTGAGGTGAAGATGAGTACCAGCGCACCATCGGGGCGCTCTTCTGCATCTTCTGGCTGATGCGTACGCATCTCGACGGAAAGGACTGCTGGAGCCGCCTTTGCAGTTCTTGGACACGTCGGTGCACAAGAGCCGGCTCTTTCAGGAGTCCTTCTGCTTTGGTTTAGACACGGACTGGAAGCCGCGCAACAGGTCGCACTTCCAGGACGCTCCGGCTGCGTATCGCTCCTTATCGGAAAGCGATTTATCTGTTCTGTTGGAAGGAGCCAGAGCTCGAGGCTCGCAAAAGAGTTTGAGTTCGGCGACAGGGACCCCAGGCTCTGTAAACCCTGTATGGCCCTCATCTTCAGCCAGGTCGAGTACAAAAAACGCAAGAACTTCTACGAGAAGACGGACTGGGCGGCCATTGAAGGCCTCTTTGTCCGGACCTCAGCCAGTACAAACTAGTCTGACTTACCGAAGAGGGACGGCAGACTTTCCACGACCCGAAAGTGGAACATGTGCGCTGGCAGATATTCAGGTCGGAGCCGGCTTGCTTAAGAAGGCGCGGCTTGTTCAGTTGCCAGCCGGTGCTTGCAAGCATAGCTGCCGTGGTGGCTGTTGCATCTGTAAAAGTTAGAGGTCTAGCAACGGTCTGGCTACTCGGGAGGAAGGGTTGAATCGGATCCTTCGGTGCCCCGTTTCGATCACAGTCACAGAAATTGGGGGCAACGTTTGCCCCAGCCGTTCCCCGTAACAGCTTCGCCTGTTCGTAGCCTGGAGAATGCTTGCGCAGCTGCTGCTGCATCTAGCTTGGAACTCAGCCTCCGGAAAAAAGAAGAAGAAGACTCGATACCCATTGATATATGTAGGAGCATATGGGAGTCTGAAATAGGGGGATGATGTCCTCTCATCTCCTCCTCGTGGAGTTCTGTTGAAGCAAGGGCTTGAGACCGGTCCATACAACATCTTCTCAGCAAGGGCTTACTTAGCGATTAGAACTAGTATAGAAGGAGGAGAATGTTCTGTGTCGTTTCAATCGGGTGCAAGTTGGAGTTAGTTGAATCACCTGCAAAAGGACCCCTTGATTTACAGGCAACATATCCAAGAAGCGCCAATTCCCGGATGACAGCACAGATGACATAGAACCTCTGCAAAGTAGATGTTCACACCTGCCTGCGCAAATCACTTAATTTGGCTGCTGTGGCAGTGTGTCAATCAAGAGCAGCTGAAGGTGCAATTGCGATTCACCATAGAATATAGAATCTATGCGTTGGGCTTTGTGGTTTTCAAGGCTTTCATGTATGAAACGAGCACATTTTGGCCAGCTGGTCACTGCACTATGGAGTGAAGATGGCCGTAGCCCCTTTGTGGGAGCGCCAACTTTTGGAGAGACCTGTGTGACTCTGTGTGACCCTTGGCTTGGCTTTCGAGCTCCGCGCGCCAGGAACCCGAATAATCCCAACAAGCCCCAGGAAGTGTGCGTTGTGTCGTGGTAGCCGCCAGAACCAAGCCTACTGGTGCAGGATGAAACCTTCAAGCACTGAAACATTTGATAGCATCCTGTGCCTGTGTGCAAACATAATGTCGCACGCAGGCTGGGGGCCCGCACGATGTCGAAAGAACACTCGCAATGCCTCTTGGCTATCCAAACTCATATCGGAAGACGGAGATCTACCACTGCGGGGGAAATTAACCATACGAATGGTTTGTCCAAGGCTAGTCCTTATGACCGTGCACGATGTCATGAAGCTTGACATCCTCCGCCCGATTGTCGGTGTGGGAGAGCCGTTTCCTCAGATTTCTCACAATTGCTGAAGTGGCAAGGATTGAATGGCTAGGATTGATGCTTTCGCTTGATAGCGCAGCATGGCTCCTAGCTTTCTCGAAGCTCCAGGTTCGCTGGCTACAAAAACGGCGAGCCCATCGGCGACCACGACGTAGCTTTAAGCTATGCCAGCTCCTGAGTCCAACGGACTCGAGACAGCTTGCAGTCCGAGTGTGTGCGAATGCGTACAAGGTGCTGGAGCGATGCCCTCAAGCCTTGCCTTCCTTTGCCGGGCTTTCCACCGAAATGCAAGAGAGCATCAAGCTGCTTGGCAGCTCGAGGTTGGATCCAAACAGGTAGGCGGTAGGCTCAAATGCCGCATAACACAAAACGGTCCAGAGCTGGGCGAGGGCTAGCCGCTTGCGAACTAACTAGCATGCCAGTCAAGGATGACTCGCAATGCTTCGGGCCGGCTTTAGCAGCGCCTGAGCGTGAGTATGTGCGTCTGTGAGGTTCACACACTGCAAATTGGACTACAACATGGGCACGGAGCTTGGCAAGTACCGCGTGCTTGCCGCGGATTCCAGCCGCCAAAACTCCTGAGGCTGGCTGGTGCAAGCAGAGGCTCCTCCTGGCGTGGTGGCCCCAATTTTGAAAGTTCGAGGGCCGGATAGGTGCTTGCTTCTTCGCAGCAGCGCGCATGAACGCCAGGCTTTGTTCAAGGCCTTCCGAAAGGTTGTCTTAGCTGGAGCCGCTTCCGACCAAAAGTCCGCTAGCGCCTCAGGATGAATACTGCCCACAAGTTCATTAAATTCACTGTTTACGTCGACAACCGCTGGAAGTGTTTTTCTCACGTGCCACTGAAGCTCCTGGCAGAAATTGCATGTCAACCTGCCGCTGGCGAGGCCAGTAACATTGCCTTCTACTTCGTTCACTGGTCACTTCCCTTATCCGACTTTCGTGCGTAGCCGGCACTTGCAAAATTCACCTACGTTTCAGACTGGCCGTTTCAAGGTTCGCGGATTTGGCTGGAGCAGAAGCTTCTCCTTTGCAAGGCATGGCATGCATCCATGCTGTTTGCAAGGCTCCGTGCCACCGAGTGTCGTATGGAAAGGATGCGAAAAGTTTGTGCTGAAGTTCCCTCAGCAAGTTCTCGGCAGCTTCATCGATTCCTTCGCAGTCGCGCCAGCCCCAGGGAAGAACTGGAAGAAGAGGCAGCTTAGGATTCAAACTTGTGAACTCCTTTTTGAGCTGGGCTGGCTGAGACGACTGGCTGCTGTTTTTCCACCAACCACAGGATAGCAAGAGCTGTCATGTTGGCCCTGACAAGTCGTGTCCCCTTCCAGAGTATTGGCTTGGAAGTCTCGATAGGGCAAATCGAATGCATCATTGCCTGCACGTTGCCCGCAGGGCAGTGACAGGAGTTGGACGAAGTGCCATCAGCTCGTTCCGACCTGCTGCACGTTCCGTCCTCCCAGACGCAATTGGTGCCAGCTCGTCAGCATCCTCCAGGTTGGCTGCCTTGAGCCGGGGCAGGATGTCTCCTTTCTCGACAAGTTCCAAGATGCTCGATGGGCCTGGGCTGCCAGGGCTGCCTTGGGCTTCTGCCGGTGACAAGTTCAAATTCGGCACCAGGAAATCGCTGGGCCTTGCGCTGGCGTCGGTCGCAGCCTTGACGGCCGCTACAGCAAGCGAGAGCGAGGCAAAGTCGGTGAAGGCCGATGATCGAAGCCACGAGCTGTCCGGGGACGAGCAAAGAACCGTGGCACTCTTCGAACGTTGTAGTGGCTCTGTAGTGCACATCAGTACTTTTGTACAGGACAAGAGCCTTCTTCGAGGCGCTTTCGGTATGGCGAACGTAGACATGCAAGACATCCCACAGGGAACCGGAAGCGGGTTTATGTGGGATTCGAAGCACATCGTGACCAATTACCATGTGATCAAAGATGCCGACAAGGCTATGATCGTCTTTGCTGATCACACATCCCGCGAAGCATTCTTAGTCGGACATGAGCCAGACTTTGACTTGGCGGTGCTGCGTTTTGAGAAGCCGGATGAGCTTGAAATCAAAGCTCTCGACAGGGGCTCCTCCTGCCGCCTTCAGGTGGGTCAAAAGGTTTTTGCGATCGGCAACCCGTTTGGACTGGACCAGACACTGACCAGCGGCATCGTGAGTGGTCTCGGTCGGGAGATGCGTGGCACGACAGCACGTTTACTCAGCCTTCTTTGATGTTTATCTTGTTTCTCTGTTTGTAAGAAGCCGAGAGCCCTAGATTTCATCCTGTCATATCGTGTCCTTGTTGATGTGGTGTCGAGGTGGCATCTCGGGGCGCATGCTGCGTGGGCTCGTGCAGACGGATGCTGCCATTAACCCGGGTAACAGCGGAGGCCCGCTGCTTGACGCGAGAGGCCGCCTCATTGGTGTGAACACTATGATTGCAAGCCCTTCTGGAGCCTTTGCCGGAGTGGGCTTTGCAATCCCCGTGGATACTGTAACACGAATCGTGGATCAGATAATCAAATATGGATTTGCTAAGCAGCCGTACTTGGGCTTGTACATGGCCCAAGACCACGTGAAACAGCAGCTGTCACGATTGCTGTACCGTCAGCGGATGCGTCCGATCGAGGGAGCCCTCATTATGGCTCTAGAGCCTGAAGGCCCCGCAGATCAGGCGGGTCTCAGACCTTCTATTCAAACAATGCGGGGCATACAGCTGGGTGACGAGATCCTGTCGATTGATGGGAAGAAAGTCAGTAATCTGGATGACATCTTCGAGGCCCTGGACCAGAGAGAGATCGGCGAAACGGTGAAGGTGGTTTACCGACGACGATCGGATGGCCACGAGAAGGACAGCAGCACATCCCTGCGACTTGCAGAAAGGCCCTTGCGCCCTCGAAATATCAGCAGCCGGAGTCCGTCGGACGATGGGGGCGTTTTGGTTACTGAGCATGAACGGAAGTCAAGGCTGTGAGAAACTCCCCGACGATGATGGCATCCAGTTGTCAAGTCACCTTTGTTCTGTACAGTCCATGCCGTGACAGGCATGCTCAAATGTGTCCCGTAGAGGATGCCTTTAGGCAGAAGAAATCTGCGCCACATACTAGCCAGTACGTATGGAGCTCAGAAACTAAAGCTGCAAGACGTGTTTGTGAGTTTATGCGTGTTTGCGAGAGAACTGACAGTAGTGAAGACATGCATCGCCTGGCTCTATAGACACCCAGGTGTGGAATCTGGGCCCCAAGACCGAGACTGAAGTCTTTGAGGACTTTCGACACAGAGATCCTGCTTGAGATCTGTCGGGCATTGTCGGGCGAGACCTGAGAACTTCAGCGCCTAGTCTGGTTATTAGGAGTACCTCGTCTGGCGCTGGGGCAACATGGAGCAGCGCCTCGGCCCTGCTCCCACGGGCTCTGGTGCCATCGCCAAAATGCGACTGGTGACTTGGATCAAAGACAGATTGGCTGGAGCTCTGATCACTCTACTCATGTTTGCGAAACTTTTGGAAGCCGCTGGTTCTTGTGGCACCGCCTCCAGGTACTCATGGCGCAGGGTGACAACCAAGAAGTTCTGAGGCAAGCAGGGTAGTGAGGTATGATGAACTTTCCTTCCTGCCGCACGTACGATTTCGAGGCAGTTCAGCCGACTGAAGAAAGCAGATCAGCAGGTGTTGAGCCAGGCGGGACCGCCCAGCTATGCACCTTTTCACATGTGCTCCGGGCATTCAGTACTGCGACCGATAGTTTGGAATGGTGCACGGTCAACTTGAGGAATTGGCTATCACAGGGTGCCTCAACCAGAAGTTCAAGCGGGACAGCTACAAGGACACTGTGAAAGCTGCTGCAATTCTGAACGGTTGATGACGATGTGGCTCGAGCACAAGTCTGCGGGCCATGCATCTTTGATTCCTGCTAGCAGGATGCCGGAGGTCCGGCAATCCTGGTCATGATCTCAAGAAGCATCAGGGGTCGATCATGAAGTCAGCCAGCTCCCAAGCGGCGTGATACCAAGAGCTTCGAGTCACGTCAGGTCTACTATGCACCGGCACTGATGCAGAAAGCTGGCAAGCAGGACATGCATCAGAATGTAGAAAGCAGCAAGTTTTGTGATTGCTGGCGGTGGCGGCGGGAGAAACAGAGCATCCAGCTGCAGGATCCGGCAGGTGCCTTGATCGTTATGGCCGAGATCTTCCGACAAGCAAGGTCTCTGTGGCCATTGCGACTTTGGCAGCAGAAAGGCACTGCGTGGTCATCCTCGTGAGTGCGTGATCGGTGCTGGAGTAGCCGCCGATCCTCGCGGGAAGACTTTCTCGTCCTACCAAGACAGCCGCGTCTTCTTTTGTCGGGCATAGAAGCTTCTTGTGGAGCCCAGGTCAAAAAATCAAGAAGATTGTGATAAGACGATCTTGGCCAGGAGCTGACTAGAGTTCCACACACATCCAGCTGGTATTGTCGCGGCAGAGATTTTCGATCTGTTGGGTGTGCTGGCAGCGCTTTGGCGGGCTCAGGTTCGGATCGATGTCTTGAAGGAGATGCAGGTGCTCGCTCCTGCAACAGGTGTAGTGGAGATGCCGTAGACAAAGACTGTGAACCAAACGCCGGGCTCACAAAGCACTCTGCCAAAAAGAGAAGCGAAATCTCTGAATCAACACCTTGCGAGTCTTGAAAAAGTGGGTGTCGAGCAGGTGTCGGCGATCCTGGAACCTCGACCAGACATCAATTATGTACTGTGTAGGGCTGGTGCCTTGGGCCTTGAGCGACGATGCGCCAAATGCAAAGAATTGCACTTGCAGATTCGGCGGCATATTTCCCTTGCTGTTCAGGTCAGTTCACAGGATGCGCAGGTCAAGATTGTGAGCAATTTGGACATGAAAGAAATAGACAAGGCATCCTGAGCAAGACCTTCCATGACATGAGCACTCCCCCCTGCAAAGCTGTTTGTGCTCTCGCGTGCTCATGGCT